TTTTTTCCACTTGATTCTGACAAGTCGACTTTCTCAATGTAGCAGTGTAGATAGAAAATGGACAAGTGATTAACACGCACTGGTGGTTCAGTGGTAGAATGCTCGCCTGCCACGCGGGCGACCCGGGTCCGATTCCCGGCTAGTGCAGTCTTTTTTTTTCTCATCATAGGTTAAGTTAATAAAAATTTATAACGGGTATCTTCATAAAATTTTTTCATATTTTGTAGTAACAGGTGTTTTATTAATTCAGTAAGCCGAACGAATATGTCACGCATTTCAAGCAACGTTTTAATCCGAAATCATTCGTTTGTTTATCCATCTTTGCTTTCCTCACCACCAAACCTGTTACTATCATGGTTCGAAAATCCATTGAAGCTAAATCTATTGTATAGGATGGAATAACTGAGTATAGATTCCGTAACAAGTAGACACCAAATAGTTACGTCTTTATTTCGAGCTGATTTCGATAAGTTTTCCCTTCTGGTGGAAAACTCTAAATATAATGTGGACAAGTCTACCACAAGCATTAGTATTTTAATGGTAGAATTCTCGCCTTCCAAGCGAGTGGCCCGAGCAGTAGTTCAATAGTAGTGTAATCGAACACAAAATTTTACTAAAACAAATTCAGTTAAATCAATATAATATTCGAATAAATGTTGGGTTCGATTCCCGGCTAGTGCATTTTTTGTTTATTATTTACGTAATTTTTCTATCGGAGCTCTATATCGAAAAGCTGTATAGTTTTTATTTTCAATAAAATTTTTCATTTTTTGATGATAACTCACGTGTTTATTCCCTTAACCAACCGAAGTGATGTGTTGCTTTATTTTGTGTCGTTCAATGGAAATACTTCAGAAAATGAACTCTTAAAAATATCTCTAGAAAGCTATATACACCATTGCTCTATAAGAACATTTTTATTTTTTCTGTAGCGTAGAAGAAAGACGAATTTTTTATTATAAAACCATTTTGTTCACTATCTTTTTATACTTTTGTGATTACCTAATCAGTTACTTTCATGGCTTGAAATAATATTGAACCGTTAGTATTTTTTTAACACAAAATCGTCCAGTAGAGATCTATCAGTAAATGAACACCGTATCATCTTGTGGATCATTTTTATTGACTCGATTTTGATAAGTTTACTGTCTTGATGTACTGATGTGAATATAATATGGAGCAATCGTAAGCACGCACTGGTGGTTCAGTGGTAGAATGCTCGCCTGCCACGCGGGCGACCCGGGTCCGATTCCCGGCTAGTGCAGTTTTTTTTTCTATCATTTATCCAATTCTGTATACTGATCATAAGATAAACTGACAACGTTTTTTATTGTTTTTATGTAAATCTATCGGCCGTGTTGATTGATAAAGTATGATGCATCGTAATATGTTCAGAAGAAATGACATTCCATTATGCGTCATAGATTTATAATTTATATCTTCAAATACTATTTAAAAAATATTATATGTCATATCTTGCTTAGTTTCTTTCATGTTTTTCATGTCAACAGAGCTTTTTCTCTATTCAACAAACTGAAGAAATGGGTTGCACTTCGCTTCGTTGTTCAATGAAAATATTTCAATAAATATAGTAGTCAGAGTTTTGTCTGAGTAATTATCCATCATAATGCTTCGTACGACTATTTCAATACCTAATCAGATACTGTCATGACTTCAAACTCTATTAAACGTATACCGTTTTTGTACTATAGAATCATTCAATACAAATCCTTTTGAGAAATAGGCACCATATCTCGAAGGTTTTTTTTCTTTGACATGATTTTGATAAATCTACTATTTTAATATAACATTGTCGATACAATTTCGACAAAACAGTAATATGCACTGGTGGTTCAGTGGTAGAATGCTCGCCTGCCACGCGGGCGACCCGAAGTGTAGTTCGATGATCAGATAACCTACAACAAAACTTTTGAAAAAATAGATATAACCTTAATAGTTATAATATTTGAATAGATTCTGGGTCCGATTCCCGGCTAGTGCAGTCTTTTTTTTTCTCATCAAAAGTTCGCTTTGAAAAATTTTACATATCATGTGAATAATAAATTTTTTCATGTTTTTTGAAGCCTACTGTATTACGACGTTTCCTTCAATAAGACTATTTCAATAAAAAAAGTTATAAGAATTTCTTTAAACAATCATATTTACCAATACTGTAAACGATCATCTTTCTTTTTGCTTTATTTTCTAATGTCAACGAAAGTTTGATGTTTTCTTTCAAAATCATTTCATTGTCCATCCGTCTCCACTTTTTGTTTTACCTAATCAGTTATCATTATGAGTTCAGTTGCATTGAGAAATAGGCATCGTAACGTCAACGTTTTTTTCCTTTGACATAATTTTGATAAATATACTATTTCGACAAGACAGTAACATGCACTGGTGGTTCAGTGGTAGAATGCTCGCCTGCCACGCGGGCGACCCGGGTCCGATTCCCGGCTAGTGCATTTTTTTTGTTGTCTATTATCATTTTTATTTTTATTCACAAAAGTACACTAACATACTTTATTTTCAAAAATATAACAAGGGGCATACTTTTAACAAGTTTAATAAGAGAATATCTCTATAATAAGTTTTCAATGTAATCATAATTCGAACGAAAAAAAAATATCAAATCGAACTTTCTAAATATTCATCAAAGTTCTATTTGTCAATAGAACAATTGCTAATATCTACGACTTTAACAATACTAATGTGAATTTGCATTTGATTTGAAAAATTTTTACATGTATATTGCTAATGTTCGATACAAAGTTTTTTTTTTCTCAACTGTATAAAAACTTTAAACAAAAATAAATATATAATAAACGATTATTTCTCTAATCTACGTTTGTGTTTCCTCTTCAATTGATAAAGCTGATATTTCCAGGAAACCCTATAAAATTGAAGAATAGATTTTAATACAAAAAAAAAAAAAACTCAAATTAATTTATTTAATACTTACTTTAAGAGCAGTACTAACACCATTAACATCTAATAAGAACGTGTCGTGTCCAAAAATACTATTTAATTCAAAAAATGTTATACTTGGATTTCCTGAAAATATTAACAGAGATATTTTATTTTCGTTTTCTTATTCTGATCTGACCTGATTTTATAAGTTCTTCAGCTAATTGTTTCTGTTGCCATATTGGAAAAAGAATATCAGTTTGGGAACCTAAGACCAGTACAGGACATCGAATTTTTGAGAGGGCATCACTTGGTGTTTCATATCCTTCAGTTAAATTAAATAAATCCATTGCCTATAAGAAAATAAATATAGGTCAATATAAATTATTTATTTTTTCTAATAACCTTTGAAATGTATAATAATGAATTAGGATCATATTTTTTTGCAAATGTTAAACCTTGATATTGTAGATAACTTTCAATTTCAAATGTTGGTGTTAATTGAATAGTATCATTAAAACGACGTAAACCAAAACGTTCAAGCCATTCAGGTCCTGAACGATATGTAAGTGTTCCAATTTCTCTAGCAATACGCATTCCATCAAGTGGGTAGACACCTTTATCATAATAATGGCCATGTTCCCAATTTGGATCAGTCATTATCATTTTTCGTTGAAGATATCGTAGAGCAATAGCAGTTGGATATGGAGCAATACAAGATGAAATACTTGCTACTCTAAAAAAATATGAAAATATGAAGAATCAAATTGAATAAATAATTATTTACCTGCCAACATTATCGGGATATAAAAGACCTGAAAGAATTGAACACATTCCACCTAATGAAGAACCAATACTTGCATGAAGCTTTATTTAAAAGAAAAAAGAAGAAATCAATATAGCATTTTCTGTAATCGTTTTTTTACATAAATTGGTGAAAATACAAAATTTTAGAAAATTTTTGTTTCCAAATTATTTAATGCTGTTGGATAAAGTATATCGAGTTATCTATGAAAAATTACTTTTGCAATTTTTGGAAACTTCTTAATATCATGATTAAAGTTGTTCATTTTTACAGATATGTTATTTAGTAGAACATTAGTAGAACTCCTCTTTGATTCTGCAGACACCATTGACCAAAAAAAACTTTATGTACATAAGGTTATTTTTTTGTTCAATTTTGTCTGCAGAGTCAGAAAATAAGCCCTATAATGTTCTACAAAGTTCCATATCTTTGACAATAAACGACTCTAATTATAATACTTAGAATTTAATCTATTTTTCCAGTAACTAAATCACTTGGAATTTAAAATTTGCTAAAATTTTGGATTTTCAGTATCTTACTTTTTCAATTCCTAAATGTCTGATTAAATGAAATTGTGCACGAACAAAATCTTCAACAGATAACATAGGAAAAGAAGCACCATATGGTTTATTTGTTTTAGGATTTTTTGATGAAGGTCCACTAAAGTAATAAAAATAACCAAAACAAATATTAATAAAGATACAAACATACGTCGAACCATAACAGCCACCAAGATGATTACAGCAAATAACAAAAAAATGATTAGTATCAATACCTAAATTAGGTCCAACAAATTTTTCCCACCAACCAGCTCTTGGATTTTCCTAAATTTATATTTACATATTGTTATTTATAATTAAATAAATAATAATAATTATATTCCATACATCATGACTTTTTGCATGTGAACTAGCACTGAGACCCGTAAAAATAAGAACAGCATTATTTTTTTTGGCATTTAATTTACCCCATGTTTCATAAGCAAGTTGAAATTCATTTAATGATTTATTATTATATTTTAATCGAAATGGTTCATTTTCATGTTTATATATTTTATAACCGGATATAACATGATGATAAGCTGGTTCAGGTCCTTCCGAAGAATGTGCGCTATGAAAAATTCAATGTTTATTTGTAGAAGAATATTAATCATAGTTACCATCGAATGGAAACAAAGTGTCGAGTGTTTGAAACTGGAAAGCGAAGGAATTTCGACAAAAAATGCATCGCTCGATTGTGTCACGAATGATATGTTGCCTTTTTTTTTCGCGCTCTGGTGACCTTGGTAGACGCCAATAGATACCGTCGTTTCATTCCTGCATCATACTGCCTACACGTGATCACATGAAAGAAAACCTTGAGTGCACCGATGATGAAGTATTTTATATGACAACACACAGATATAAATAGTGTAAATATATATTCAAAAAAAAGATGAGTCAAGTATATCTGAATAGGAAAAAACCAAATAAAAACAAAAACAAAAAGAAAAAGATTAATGTTTATTACGTATTTTTCGTTTGGAAAACTTTTAAAAAAATTCAAGCAAAGTTTTTCAGATGAAATAATAAAAGTTAATGATACATAACAAATGATTTTCCAAACAATAAATCACCGATACAATCAGTTTTTGTCAATTAATTTTCAAGTTTATTATAGACTGTTAAATGCTAATATAGAATATAAAGTAATATCGACAAAAAAATCTTTTAGATTCGAAATTAACTTTTAGAACTGTAAAACTGAATTCTATATACATATTAATTTACTCATAAGTAGCTATTTTCTTTTGTATCTTCCATGAATATATTGGGATAAATTGGTTCTGTATTAAATTTGCATCATATAATTAAGACTATAAACTTCTTCGATTTTCAACTTTTCTCCGTATTGTATAAAAAGTAAAATTTTAATGATGAGAAACTTCGATCTAGATACATAATGGAATATAGAACTGAAAAAATTTAGATCTATGAAGATTTTTTCAACGATAAATCTAACCGGAAAATCTTCGTACACGTCATTTTCCAATTTTCATGATTTTTTTCCCTATAGATACGGCATAGTGTTTTAATATGAACCCTAAAAAGGATTTTTGAGGTTCCACTCAACTATCTAGTTTATTTTTAAAGGCCACTGCTTTTCGGAAAATTCGTATTTTCGAATCTTGGTCTTAAAATTTGTGCATACAGAAAACTTAATTAGACTAAATTTCATGGAAAAATTCAGTAGTTTTGAATAACGTGTCTTCGAGTTATGAAGCTTTCAAAGAATGCAAGTAGTGTACGAAGCGATCCGAAAGTCACCGGGCAGTTTCTGATTGCGAATAACTTTTGATAGAAACCAGAAAGAAAGTTGCATTTTTTTTATGTTGAAAAGAGGACAGTTTGCAGTATCGAATCATATAGAAAACATAGCTTTGCTCAAAAAACCGTGAATTTTTTAATAAAACCTAATCTAGTTGAGTTTTCTATGTGCAAAAAGTTCTAGATCAAAATTCGAAAATACGAGTGTAACGGAAATCTGAGGTGTCTAGGAAAAAAGTTCCATAAGTTAGTCAAGTCATAAACCACGTGATATAATCCATCATGTGAGAAACGATATATAAACAAGAGTGATTAGATGATAAAACAATTTTATGTTTATGTTTTTTTAGGAGCGATCATGTATATTTATCTTTTTCTCTGAATAAACAAGAATGAAAACAAAAAACAACATATATCCAACAAATAATTTTGTTTATTTATTTATCTATTAACAATCCATGTTTATAGAGCTTATCAAAAGGGATTGGTGCTCGTTTTTCATCAGTTTCAAACAAACGACGCAATGCATCACGAGCTGCCATTTCTTCAGCTAGTGAGATTGTTGCACCGGCACCTAACATAAATTCATAATTAATCATAAATAACATTATATAAAAATTTTTTTTTTTACTTTTTCCTAGAAATTCTTTATTGGAATATACACCAACAACATACGTTGAAAGTACACTTGAAACACCTGTTGCCCATATCAATCTATTATTAGGAAAAAAAATAAATGATCTTTTTATAATAAACTTTTTTTAAATATCTAACCGAGATTCAGGTGCTTGTCGACCATTCTCTTCTAAAACTGTTGTTAATAGACCCATAGGATTTTTAACATGCCATATTTCATTCATATCTTTTCCTACAAGATGTGTTAAAATAAAATCAGCCACAAAAAGTTCAGCTCTTGATTGATTCTACAATAGAAAAAAACCTATGAAAATTAATAATCCAATAATTGATAATCCAAATCGACTAACATTATTCTCATCAATAGCACCAATAAAAGCAAATAATGCATTTTGAAGCATTGTTGGACGAGGTGATGGAACCTACAAAGAAAAAGATTATTAATTTATATTTTAAATATAAGATGTACATCATAAATAATGGCACCATTCGTATTTAGTTTTATCTTATTTACGCCTAGTTTTAAACAATATTCTGTTTAACTTTTTATAATATCATCCTTGTGCATTAGATCTAAGAACTAAAGAACATTGAGCTTCTCCGATATGTGCTGATTTCAATAAAAGTCTATATTTAGTAGAAAGATTCATTTTCACGGACGAGAGAACTATTTCAAATGACACACATCAATTGTACTCATATTGAACCCATAAACAGGTCTTAGTGAGAATAATAAAAGTGTAAACCAGTTTGTCCTCATCGGACTTTGGCATCGAGTTGTGAGCGGTTTATTTGATTTTTTTTCACCCAGTTTTCGATACTTCTCGAAAGATCGAATAGTAGAGCTTCGATCTAAAATTTTCCCTATAGATAGATCTCATGATTCTTAGAATAGTCTGAAAGCTTATGCTAGAAAGAATGTTCCTTTCTCAAATTGTTGAATTTTCAAGTGAACTTGATTTTGATGACGATAGGCAACTTTTTGGTCGTACAACATGTTGATGAATGAATATTTTTTCTAGAAAAAACTTCCAGACTATTCTAAGAGTCATCAGATCTATCTATAGGCGAAGTTTTAGATCAAAAGTTCATTGTTCGTTCTTTCGGCGAGTATCTAAAAGTGAATAAAAAATCCAATAAACTCGTTATAACTCAACGTCGAAGGTCAATAGGGACGAACCTTTCTAGGCTTCTGTTGTTCTCACTGAGACCTACCTGTGAATCCAACATGAGCTCAAACGGCTGGTGCCACTTGAGGTAGTTCTCTTGTAAATACAAACTTCAACTTTTATCATGAATGTTTCTTCTGCCTTGCAAAATTGCCCCAATCGTTCAGCGTATTGATTGAAAATGATGGTCATAATAAACTTTCATAAGAACGATCAACCTTTCTAAATATCACTGTATGATGAGCTAATTGATTCTTAAAGACTTCCCGGAGATAGATAAATATTCTCTCCGAAAAACAAAAGCTTTATTGGATAAAAATCCGCATACGAGTTGTTTTATACTAGAAATAGATACCTATTAGGGAAACTGAATACTGCGCGAGTACCATTATTTATGGCGAATCCATTAGATTTTCAAACTAAACATACATCACATCGAATAAGTGTTTTAAAACCAAGTTTTGAACTAATATAAGCAATTGTTGATTCCGAAATGAGAAATTTCGTTACAGCACTAAAATAATATCATTAATTCATATTATACATCACTAAAAATCTTACTCAATGCCTTCTCGTGGAAATTTTGGATACCAATATTGAAGAGCACGTCGTAAAAAATTTTCAGCTATTTGTTTTCCTAATAAATAATACGAATGAATGACATATAATTCAATTAATTTCTAACCTCGTTTAGCTAATTCTTCATTATGAGTAAATGATAATGTTGTTTGATCAGTTGCGGCAAGACCTTACAAGTAAAGACAAAAGTTTTCTATCATACAACTTTCTATATGATTTCATACCAGCTTCAGTACGTTGTTTAATAATCTGATTTAAAAATGAAACATCAGTCATAGCATTTCGTAATGATTCAATATTCATCTTTTCACCAAATCGATGTGTACATGCATATAATTCTGCATCATAATTCCTTTTATTTTTTTAAAAATAAAATTCTTTTTCTTTTTATCGAATCAATAATCACACTTACCAATTAATTAATGATGATCGAAAACGTTCTGGTTCTGGACCAGCTTCAATTCTTCTTTTATATAAATCACTTTTATATAAATATCGCCAACGATCTTTCAATGGACCAAATATAGTTCCATAACGTAATAAACGTACCATATTCTTTATTAATCTAGAAACTAAAAAAACAAAAAAAAAAAGAACTCTGCTGGATTCACTTTCATTAAGTGCATGATTACACTGATGAGAAAAGGAACCAAAACAAATTGACAAGACAAAAAAAAATAGGACGGATGCAACAAAAATATTTCTCTAAGTATATATGTATATATAAATATTTATATTTGTATGTTAAGCAACATATTCATATATATTAGCATTGTCTGCTGATCGTTTCATATATTCACGTTCTAGTAAACTTTCAATACGTGTTTTAACAACGGCTGTCTAAAAAAAAAGAAAAAATTAATGATCAAAAATAAAATTCTCATAAAAATCATTCTTACTGATAAAGGAAATTTTAATTGTGAAAATACTTCAGATATAAGTTGAGCATGTGATAATGTTTTACGTATTTTCATTATTCGAACAATAGCTGCATCAATTTGATATTGACGATCTTGAACAACACGTTCAGTTGTTGAACTATTTTCTTCACGCTAAAAATAGATAAGAATTATAGAAAAAAGAGAGTTCGTTTTTTTAATTTTTTAATACGAACAGTTTCTTTTAATTGTACTTGATTAATTTTTATTCGAATTAATTTATGTTCAAATGAAGTATTTAATGTAAATCGATCATTGGGATTAATATCTTTACTCTGAATTTAAAAACAAAAAACCAAAAAATAAAATAATTATTGAACAAATTGTAGAAATTTATTTACCATTGGTTTTTTATTTAATAAACGAATTTTTCCACATGCTAATGATTGTAATGTTCGTTGTAATTCAGTTGCTTCTATAGAAATTTATTGAAAAGAAAAAATATAATATTTATTTAGAAAAACAAATGATACAAACGAATTTTAGTTTGTTCTTGAATATCTTTATAAGTAAGATCTTTATGTTCATTAAAAAGAAGAAGAACAAGTGCTTGATAAAGTGATACTTTAAATTCTTTTATTGCCTGAAAGATATTTATGAAACATATATAAAGAAAGTCTCAGAAGTTCGAAAATGAATTTAAAAATTCATCGTTCTTATAAGTAACAAAAAAAAAAAAACAAATTATTTGCAAATTTAAAAGATAATTGTACCTGCTTATATTCCTTTGGTCTCAAACTCATAAAATACAAATGATAAACTCTCTTTCAGCTCATATTGTAGCTAAAAATTCTGAAAAAGTTGCATACTACTAGGCTTTTTTTCTTGAGTTCTAGTTATTTTATTGAAATTATAGCTAGTTACAAGATATGACGAAGCAAATCGCAACAAAAAGTTTTAGCTTAAAACTCTCTTCAGTAATACTTCTCATGGTATTCTGAAAGTTTTAGCTAAAACGAATGATTTCTTCTTACAATATTAGGTTTATTTTATTTTCTCGTTAGAATATTTACTTATCATTTGCTGATAGTGATTTAATTAATGGAGACTGATTTACAAACTGAAGATTCACTAACAATGTTGTTGAGCATGATGATTGTTAAGTGACATAGACACAAAAAGAAGAATATTTATAGATTCTGAAACAGTTTATTAACGATGATCATTTGTCCAATAAAACTTTATTTCGTACTAGGAATGCAAAGAATTATTGAGAAGTTGACAAAAATGTAGATATTAATAACAATATTGAATACGACGAAAATAATGAACGATTGTAATTAAATAAAAATATTGGGAATAGGATTTCTCAACTTGATAATTAGGGTGCTTGATAAATAGTAACAGTATTATTCTTCGGTGTAAATTTATTTTCATCTGTGTCAAATATATCTATAAGTTTGATCAACTTATGTTACACACATTTTTTTTGCACGCATATTTTCTTTCAAGTTTTTCATAAATCTACTTCCGTGATCTATTAGTAATATTATATCATTATATGGTCTAGAGCATTTTCTTTCAAACATTCAAGTATAGTAATAAAATAATAAAAACTCATTTGAACAGAAGCGATTAAACAAACTATTCTTCAATTGAATTTTGAGAACAAAAACTGATAGTATTAAATGACTAGGAAATTTCAGGTACATAATTTTTTTATTGGGAATTAAAAACGCTTACAAAAAACTATCATGTACGATTTTAAGAATTTTTCAATAACCTTAATTGATGAATTTCTTTAAATATCTATTTTTATCAATGAACGGATACATCGTAAGCAAATTTTATTAGTAATAGATATGCAAAATACATTGGAACTATTGTAGCAAAAAATGCAATTAAATAATTAATTGCATTTTTGAAATATGATTAAAAATCATTAGAAAAAAGGATGCAGATGATCGTATATGCCATTAAAGATTTTTACAAAAGAAAACTTACAAGAGTGGTAATATAATAATATTTAACAATTGAAAAATGACATGAAAACAACGGATATGTGCTCTTGATTACGAAAAATTATTTTGATTTAAAAATCTTAACTAAGAAAACAAATACATGATATAATTTCTCAACTGTCTGCAAAGTACAAGAATTTGCCAAAGTTGAAAAGAATTTACTTTATTTTTGACTAGAAGAACGATGAATTTTTAAACTGTTTTAAAATTTTATGCAATTATAACCTTTTCTTTAAGCCATCCTTTAAGTAAACAATGATCAAGTGTATATTGCCATTGTAGTTTACGTCCAGTATGTTTACTTAAATAAAAACTTGTAAAAATTTCTTGTAATCGACAAAACTAAAAAAATAATAAGTATAAAACAATCCAACGTAAAAACAAAAACATCGAAGATTTTTTACCTCAGGCGGTAGAATAGCAGTAACGGGTGGATATGTTGGCCAAAAACCCATTGTTAATACAGAAACAGACATACCAATATTTCCTGGTACCTCATGACCATGCATATACTAAAAATAAATTAATTTTACATATAAAATTCATTCTTCAATAGGCTTCGTTATTTCAATGGATAGAAAATCTGTTTCAATTGAAGTTTCTTTTTTTTTGCTTTCAGTAATCCATATGATTTGAATCGAAAAAAAAACTGTCGTAGACCACTCGACATAATATGTGCTATAGTGATAGTTCTCTTCCTACTGACAATGTAATGCCATTATACCGACGGAAGTACGACATAAAAATATGTTGATTTGCTCTGATTTCCATATACATCTTCATTTCTAGTCATATCCCATGTGACACTTTTTGAACAAGATCAAGGACAATGTCTTACTCTTTTGTGAATACATTCATGTACGAATAATTTGAATATAGACTTAAAAACGTTGCGTCTATTGTCGTGGAACTTTTTGAAAGACGTGTAAAATTATTTTTAATAGTGGGTCAGCAGATTTCTTTTTCCTTTATAAGTTCCCTTTCGAATATGCGAAAACTGTTGAAGTCGATCATTTTATTAAACAGACATTTCTCTACAAAATGTGATATTGAACTAAGATGTTGCTTTTGCCCACTCATTTTTTCAAGAGCTCCTTACAACATAAAACTGTTGTCGATAGTTAAAAACATGAGTGCTGAGAAAAAAAACGAAAAATTGAGGTGCTTTCTGGAAAGATAAAAGCCTCAAATCGAATATTTTGTAGGGTAATTTTTCATCTACAAGTTGATACATAAATAAACATTCCAACTTTTAGTTTCGAATCTCAATAGTGAAAATACCAAAACTTTCGGTCCATAAAAATTTTGTTTTCTGATCTTTTTATGGATTATTTCCTTATTCTCAGACAAAATTTCAAATCCCATATTGATAATTTTTGACTCATTAGAAATACGTCAAAAATGAACTAACAAACGAAAAAAAACAAAAGTCAAACTAATCAATATACGAACAATATGAATATATGAATTTTTTTGGTATGAAAACTTTCCAAGTTCATTGAGTACAAAACTTATTCGTATCTCATGAGGAAACTACTTCAAGTGACAATCACCGTTTGGTCTCATTTAGGCTAGGCAATGCTTAAAAGGGTTTGTCGCCGAGTTATAATCAATTCACTAGATTTTTGACCTTTTTTCTAGGTATTGCCAGAAAAATCTAATAGTACAGTTTGGATCCAAAATTTTGTCTATAGATACACCTAATGACTCTTAGAATATTCTAGTGCATTCGATTTTTGTCGTAAAGGGATATTTTTTGAAAACGTGCCATCTTGAAGAAGAAACATTCTTTTTGGCTGAAACTTTCAGAGTATTTCAAGAATTATTAGGCCTAACTATGAGAAAAATTTTGGATCAAAACTTGGTTTTTCAGTTTCCCAAAGAGTACATACATACGAGTCCAAAACCCAGTAAATAAGTGTTATTTTCAGCACCGCAGATCAAAGAAGACAAACTTTTTCAAGCTTTTTTTGTTCTTCCTGAGACATATATGTAGGTCCTATATAAACTCAAACAGCTGGTATTACTTGGAGCAATTCCTCTCCGTCAGTATTTTTTTTTCCTTTCTATCAAAGTAGAGCCATAGATAGTGTATCTAAAAGAAAATGCATCTAATTGTTCGTTAAAATTACTTGATCAAATGCTGCCATAATATCTTTTGATAATTCAATATCTTTAAACATTCCTTCAAGATTACTTGTAAATACATTTCCACATTCTATAAAATATAGAAAAAAAATCGAATTTACAAATATATATATATATATGATTTATTCTCTAACCTTGTTTAAGTTTAAGTAACATAGATTTTTCAGCATCAACTGATGCACTTTTTCCAACTAATAAACGTTTAGCTAAATCTTTTTTATAAAATGCTTCAAATACATCTTTTCCATGAATAAAACGAAATAAAATAAGTAATTTATCAAGAATTTTTTCTAATTCTTCTTCTGTTGCTTCTTTATTTCCTGTACGTAATCTTGCATCAACAGCTTTAGCTAAAAAATAAAAATAAAATACAAAAACAAAAAAACAAGAATAAAGATTCTATTCAAACCAATTAATTCAGCTGGTTTATTTGCACGTTGATTAATAAAATATTCAAATGAATCTTTAAGTATATTTGCAAATTTTTCATTATTATGAAAACATTCATGAACAAAACGATCTAATTTTTCTTTAAATTCAAGTAATTCATCAACCATTTTATCATCTTTGTCAACATCAATTACTAATGCACGACCATGAATCTTTCAAAAACAAATAGAAAAACAAAAAAAAAAAATTTTTTTTTTCTTTCAAAATTTTTGTTTTGTTTACTTTAATATAATTTCCAAATGATTCACGAAGATCATGAATACCATCAGGACCAATTCGAAGAAATAGATCATACATTAAAGCAACAGATATAAAACGATTTTCATCAATAAGTACATCGAAATTTTTTGACAGCATTTGTTTAATATGATTTGTTATTAAATTATTTTCAACAATATGAATTAATTGTACTCTAAAAAATTTTTCAATATTTATAAATTTTTTTTTATCAAATTATTTAATTTACTTTGTTGATTGATCAATATAATTATTAACTCGTAATTGTTCTTCATTAAGACGATTTTCAACATGTGAAAGATATTGACTTAATTCTAATGTTTGAATTAATTGACGACCTTCATTATGATATAATTCTTCGGTTGATTGTAAAAATATTGGTTCAAAATCTTTTTTATAAAGCTAAATTAAAATAAAAATAACAAAAAAAATATAGACCATCATTTGACACATGAATTTAAATTAAATCGTATGCCGAAAAATCTTGTTTACATGATATTTCATAAAATAAAATTTTTAAAGCATCTAGACTATCAAAAACTAATTAGAAAACGATTGATTTATTGTTCTATTGAAAGTTTGCAATTCTTAAAAATATGACTACGAAATTTATGTGAATTTACAAAGATTAATAACATAGAAACAAATGTGGATCTTGTTTATGACAATATTTGTTTTAGTTTAATAAAACTTACACGAAGATCGATTAACATTCGAATAAGATTTTTCGTTAGACTTCTATCAATTGTTTCACCTCGTCTTTCTTGTTCAATTAATTTTAGAAGACCATTAATACATCTAATTTAAAAACAATAATAAATAATTAAAATATTCTATGTCTTCTAAATAATACCTATTTGAAATCGTTGAATTTTGCATTATATGACAACGAAATAAATCTTGATTAAGTTCCCTAAAATTATTAAAAAAAAAAATATTTTTCTTTTTCAATTATTAATTCTATCAAATCATTTACCATATACTAGGTACAGTTGCATGTAAAACATATGTTCGATCAAGTACAATAAATAATTGACGAATAAGAATCTAAACATAAGAATAAGAAATGAATATATCAATCTCATTAAAATTCTCCTTACCGATCGTACAATATGATCATTCCAAATTGAGTTAAGTAATCGGAGATAATTATAACTGTCATTCACATCACTAAAAACAATAGATCATTTATAAAAAAACAAAAATTTAAATTAAAAAAAAAATTATTTTATAATATTTTAACCTAAGTAAAGGAGGCCGTAAAGTTTGTATATGATTATCCAGTACTTTTTTTAAATTTTCATAAAGAAGACTTGGTGAAGAAGTATTTGTTTCACTCGCTGATGTTGTACATAGATGATCAATATGACGATAAAGTTGTTCTTCATTTGTTGGACTATTTTTCCCATTAAGAATAGCTTCAAGTGCTTGTTTAAGTAAAGGCCAAATTTTATCAAAATAATCCGGCGGTGGTGTAACTGTCGAAGCTAAATGATAATTATTTTTTATTTTATTGAAAATAAAAAAATTTTTTTTGTATAGCTACTAACTTTTTAAATTTTTTATTACAAGTTTCTTAGTTGGCATTGAAGAATTTTGTGATGAGAAAAAAGTAGATGATGCACCATTTGCATAACGATTACGTGTATCTTTATCCATGAAATTATTTTTATATTATTGTGTAAATTACTTTTTATCGGTGGTAATTAAGATTTTTCTTATGAATTAATATTTTCCTTTGACAAACTACTTTGATAATCTCGTTTCTAGCAGATCGAAGAATTTATGTCACTGATTCATGAAATTCACAAATAAATAAACATGATTATTTTTGTCTATTGAAATAAATAACGAAAGATAATTTAGACTGCAATAGGATAATTTTTTTTTTTGCTTGCTTTAACGATATTTGATTTATTTCTATTACAAACAGACTCTCTAGTGTAAAAATAAGAACCAGCTGATTACATGAATCTTTTTTATTATTGGTTGAAAGTCTATCAATCAGGAAATAAATAAAATAAATTAATGAATCATAATAAGTTTTTCGAGAGAAAGAGAGAGATATATATACTGATTTGTTCATTATAATGGTATCTACGTTGGAACAAATTATTAAAACTCTTCTTTCACGTATACCATATCCTTCTCTACTTGCTCCACCATCAAGTGATCCTTCAAAACGTGTATCTAGTACACCATGGAATCAAACAATACATGATGATTTATCACAATTACAAAAAAATTCTGATATATCTTTATTTACGATAGCTAGTCTTCATTTATTGAATGATGATATTGGTTCATGTCATGATATTGTTGATAAACATATGGGTCATGATATTGCTGATTATCTTCATTATTTACTTCATCGACGTGAAGGAGATTATTGGAATGCAAAGTAAGTATTGATAAATAAAAATAAAGTTTCGTTTAGTTATTGATTTCTTTTTTCAAGATGGTGGATTCGTCAATTAAAAAGTCAAGAATTTAAATCAGTTTATTTATCAGAAAAATATAATTCATTTAGTAATCAAAAAAATGTTAAGAATTTATCAAACAGTGCTCAATTATCTGAAGCACAAAAACGTGCACAAGCATTTGTTGATCGATGTGAACAAGCAGAAAGACAAGATAATGAAGAAGAAAAAAATTTATTAAAACAAATGCAATGGGATGAAATGAAAACTGTTTTTGAATTCACTCGAAGATAATTAATGAATTCTTTTTTTCTTAATGAAAAATTTTTGTTTTTTCTTTTTAATCATATTTAGCTTTTCTGATAGAGATTTAAAACAAAAAGGATGAAATATTTTATCATTTATTATTAATATAAAATCATCAATGTGTATCATAATAATGATTGGTTTTATAAAATTTTTCGTCTATGATCGTCACAATTTATTCAATTACAGAAATCATTTTATATGCACCTACAGATTAAAAAACGTCAGTACGACTAGTTGTAGTTTTAGAAAGAAGGCTAACCTAAAGAAGACTTCTTCTACTCTCCATACACATTAACTAATCACAAGAGCAGCTGTATGTCACAACGTAGTCAAAAATGGTTGATCTAAGACCTAGAGTCGTTATTAATTTGTTCAGAGTGATTCTCTAGCAAATGGTGCTGACGTTTGTACACAGTGCCTTGTAGGTACTGATCGAACAACATCGTTACTCAGCTATGACTCTCATATTCTCTAGAATAAGATATGATATATGCTCACTAAATAGAAGCAACAGTTTTCAAAATTTAGTATTTCGAGATTTTTACTAAAAATTAGCATTCGGTCACCGGCCATTGTGTAAAACAAATAGTTCAATATTCATGAGAAAAATTGAGATTGAGATCAATGTATGGAAAAATACCTCGAGACATGGTCTTTCATAAATAACAGGATTTTTTATTTGTTAGCTCGCTTGTTGTCAAAAATTTTGAGATGCAGAGTCCTTTTTTCTTTTGGATGATCATTTTTCGAGATATTGAACTCATCATTTTTATTCTTCACATAAAAAGTGAGATTTTAAAACACAAAAAGTAGTACAGTCTGACATGCTCTTTCAAAATAAAAAAAAATTAAATCTAGAAAACGAGAACTCACAGAGCATTTTCGATTGACAAATGAGCGACTACTGACTCTTGTTTATTGAACATCTCTTGAAAACGTCATGATATAAAACTGAAAATTTGGGTATGAGTAATCTCTGTAGGTGGTATAAAGATCTTGCACTCATCACAAACATTACTAAATGACAAATACAAATCAGTTTTTTTGAGTAAACTTATCTTAACAACAACTCAATATAAAAGTGATAATATATCTTTATTGCATCGCACACACTTATAGCTAACTCGTAATAGAGCCTGATGTTTGAATTTCTCTTTTGCTGTAATAAAAGACTTACGTCTTTGATATCAAGTAACGATTATTTTGGCTACAAGTTTGAGAATTTTTCGAAAAACTTCTATGTAAAAAATCACACAAAGGAAAATTCAAAAAATCATTTGAAAACCTTGCTCGTGTAAAGGATACTTTAGACTCATGAAATAACTATAACTTGTGGGTATCTCGGAGATATTTTATCTATAACCTATTCTAGCCAAGACTTACATTCTCTGAAATTTTGATTGAAATCGAATGGCAAATAAAAAAAATTCATTTCCGAGAAAAATTTTCAACATAAAAGATTTGTTTGATCAACTCTAGGTCAAGTGGTGATGTCTATTAATTATTCTTTTATAGAAAACTGAAGATCATATTGATACGATTGTCATATGAAATGACAATAGTTCTTGACTTAGAATGAAATTAATCTTGTACACCAACATTTGTTTTCTTGAAATTAAATAATCTTTCATATTAAAATCAAAAATCAACAATTTTTATTGATGAAATCTATCATTTATGTACTATAAAAGCAAAAAGTAATTAATGCACTATAGCTTAAGATGTAATATTATAAAAATTTTTTTGTAATGAAAAACAAATTTCATCTGTTTTAAAAGGTTTCCATTGATCTGTTAATGTAGAATCAAGTAATATTGCAAGAATATCAGGTTTATGATTTTTGTTTGCTGCTAATTGTTTATTGATCATTTCTTTAATTAATTTTCTTCGTTCATTCATTTTTGATTCATTTTGAAAATCATACGATGATAATTTACAATGATATAAAAGTGGATAAATAAATGATTCATAAATATTTAGAAATTCTTCTCTTTGTTGTCGATAATTTAATTCTTTAGGTAGATATAATTTATTTAATGTATAGATAAGATCAGGTTGTTCAAGTGTTTGATAAAATGTACTAAGAAATATTGAATCAAGTGGCATTGTTGATAAATTATATGAATGATAACGTTTTTCTAATTGATAAGCAAGTTCATTACGATAGAAAAAAAGTATTCGTATTAAATTTATTGGTACAATCATAGATGTAACAGGTAAATTATCATAAAGTAAATCAATATGTGTTTCACGAAATTCTAATGAAAATCGAATACGTGCTTGTTTATTTCGATTAAATCTTCCTGATAAACCATCCATAGAAAATTTTTTATATTCTGAATCAAGAAGAATATTCAATTCATCATAATGTCCACCATGTAAAAGTTCATTATATTTTTTTTTTTCACTTATCATTGAAAATTGATCATCATCAAATGGTATCATTATCCAACCACAACCAATTTCACATTTTTCATTATTGTCTTTTAATTGACATAATTGTGATAATTCAATAAGTAAATGTAAATGTTTAGATGGATCAAATTCATTTGAACGTATAAGTAATTTAGCTTGTTCATCAATAAATGTATTTTCATTATTGACTGCAAAACACCAATCTTCAGTTAAATCACGTTCATCGATTTTATTTGATATGTGTGCTCGAATTGCATGAATATTAGAAATTATTTTAAAGCCATCGTATAGACATATACGAATACAACGACAAAGCACATTAACCTATATAGAGAAAAGAAATAAATGAAAGGTACTGATCACTCCCTTCTTTCATAACTCAAAAACAATTTTTTTTTTATGAACATTGTATAGTCTGCAGTAGTAGCCGTCTACTATTGAGTATATTTTGGAATCGAAAAATTGTTTTAATACTTAAAAAAAAAACCAAGTTTACATAACGGAAATAGTAAATTGCATTTTTCATTAGCAAAAAGAAAAACATCGCAGAAATGCTTCCTGTTTCTTCGAACTCGAACATAAGATCGAGTTAAATCCCTTTTTTGATATCAGTTTGAGATGAGTATTGTTTTTTTTTCTTTTAAAAGAGAGTCATTGTGATCCTCGTATCTCATAGAAGACAGTATCCGAATAGTTTGAGTCTATGAAAACTTTTGTTCTATTTCTCGTAAAAAGAACAACATTATAGATTCTAACGTACTTGTTGACCTTTGATTCTTGGTATTTTTGAACATTTTTGAATTCTTAAAATTTTTTGATATTTAACTTCTTCAAGATATATCTGATCTGTATCATGTCGCCAATTAAGATCAGTAAAAGTAAAGTTCGATTCACTCATTTTTGGTATAAGAGTATGTGATAATTTATATTGATTATGTTGAGTTAATGGTGCTAAATCTGATACTATAAAACCTGATGGTATATAATTTCTTGTTTTAAGTGCATCGACAAATGTTGGTGGTGATGTAATTTGTTTTATTCGACGTCGTAATTTTTTATCTGATGTTCCAAATTGAAGTTGAATATGATTAATAGGTACCGTACCTTGTTCTTGAGTTTGAAGATTTTTAAATAACCACCAATCATCAGGATTTTGTTGGACAAGTATTAATATTTCACCTTTATGTATTGTTAAATCACCAGTTTGAAGAGCTTCTAAATCTTGTAAAACACGAAATCGTGTACCTGGTGAATATGTTCCCATACGAAGTTCTTGTAGATGTGCATTAACAGTAGTTGATTTGTCGTCTTCTGTTTGTTCATCATCAGAAGGAGATTTTTCTTCTTTGCTACTCTTCTGGAGTCTTTTAAGTTTATCATTATCATCTTCTTCTTCTTCTTCTTCTTCTTCTTCTTCTTCTTCTTCTGTCCCATATGAACCATCTTGATTGGCATCATCATTTTTTATCCTCTGCTCTTGTGGACTTAATGCTTTGTCATGAGATGATGAAGTTGAAGTTGAAGTTGATGCAATAGTCGTTTTTCTAACTGTTGGTAGTGATGATCGTGTTGATGGAACTTTAGTTATTGGTAGTTGTTTATGCGTACTTGATGATGATGATGATGTTTGTGATGAACTTTCATTAGTGTCGCGATGTTTTGAAGTATCATCTTGTAATTTTTTACTTTGAATTTCATTTGATATTTGACGATTCTCGTTTACATCATCTTCATTTTCATCGCTAGAATATTCTGTACTACTTGCTGATCGAGATGTATTTGATGCTTCTACAAAGAGAAATATTCGTTGAAAAAAATATTAATAAGGTTTTACTTTGTTTTCTATTTGCCGTATGATTATCGTCATCGTTCTTCTCTTTACTTCCTTCTTCATCACTTGTTGTTTCATCAGTAGATTCCGATGATGATGATGATGGTTTCTTTGGTACAGCTGTAGTCGATGATGCTGGTTTCTTTGTTTTATTGAATGAAAATTTACTTAAAAATGCTCCGAATCCTATTGCATTTTCATTTTGATTCGACGTAGTTGGAACAACAGAAGATTGATCATTGACAGGAGTTGTTTCAGTTGCTTTTTCAAGATGTTTATCAACTTGTTTTAGTTTATTTGAAAGATCGGATAAAGTTTTTAATGCATTTTGTTTTGATTTATCAAATTTTTTTATCGGCCAATTTGGATCTGATTCTTTTGTCATTGCATTCATTTGTTGTTCAAGATGATTGATACGTTCTGTTAGAGTTTTTAATTCTCTTCGACCTTCTACTGAACGATCACGATTAGTAATTGCTTTCTTTGGTCTAGTATCAATTTTTTCGAATGTTTTTATACTCTCTTTTGCATCGATATTAACTTGCTCAATTTCATTCAATAGTTGTTGCATGGTTTTAGTCGATGACATTGCTACTGTCGCAGATGATGATGAATTGACAGGTTTTGAGTGAGTCCCTGATACTTGTTCATCACTTGTTGACATCTTCAAATAGATATATTGTATAACAAATATGAATCAGTTTGTAACCGTATCAACCGTAGTTAAATTTAAGTAGATTAGTAGCCATTAGAAAATGCATAGAAACAGTCAATGATATTAGGGACATCTATTGATAGACAGACAATCAATTTTTGGGCTTGCGGGAATCAGAATAGATAATATCTATTAGATGAAGAAATAGATTTTTCTATTATTATTATTATTATTATTATTATTTCGAAGTTAATACAATGATCTTTCATTATGTACCAAAAGATTTATATAAAAAAAATATTTTTTAGTATTAACAAAATTGAAAAAAAACAGCAAATACAGTGAAATTCGAGCTCCTTTCGTCAATATATAAATCATTACTCATGTTTTAGTTGCCAGAATTTATTTTTCTTAAATAAAATTTAGTAATTTTTCAATGTGACAAATTTCTTGTCACTTTGCTTTATTATATCAATCTTTTTTCATATACAAAAGTGTGAAAGAAATTCCGGAAGTTAATGTTTACTTCAAAACACTTATCCTTTTTAATATGTATGTATAAACATGCGATTGATTGTAAAATGAGCTTCATAATTAGACTCTATTCTTTCAAAGCAAACAACTTCTTTTTTTTTTCATTAAACAGATTAAACACTAGTTGTATTATTGAATTTTCAACAACAAAAAAACGAAACCTTTTCAATACCAACGAAGTATTCATTCATTTATACTACGTAGAAAAAAAAAGATTCAATATGATGATGATGATGATCACTATCATCATTCTTTTATTTTTGTTCTATCGTAAATGTTAAAATTTAATTTTTATCCAATTCAATCTTGTATGTCAGTGTCATTGATAATGCATTTCAGTTTTTTTTTTTCTTTAATACAATGTCAATTAACAAATATTTGCTGCCATACTACTATAACTAAAATTTTGTTGCTAGAACTCATTTAAACATCCACTTATTGATGTAGGCGATGTAGAACATCATTCGTCGATAAGTAATACTGGTCCAACAAGAGAAAAAAGAAAGACGATACACATAACTAGTCTTTATTTGTCTTTCTTTTATGATTAAATTTAAATACGAAAAGAAAAATAAAGGTAATAGACAACGTCGTCATTTTTTTTCTTATTTCGTTTTCTCATTTAGATTTTAAGATGAGCTAGTGATGTCATGGACAGATGGAAGAAAAAAAAAATTGAAAAAACAGCTTCTCATGAAATAAGAGAGAGGTAAAGCGCACACGCAAGAGAGAGAGAGACAAAGAGATGTAATGATCAAATTACGAAAGGACAACAATATACATCCATAACGAATGACGCGATGGTAAGTAGAATGATGACGATAACACGGAGAGGGTGTGTGAACGATTGATGATCTGAAAGAAAAGAAGCGGGAACAAAAAAAAACTGTACTTTAGCAAAGAGGATGATGACGTGCTTTTCGCTTTAATATGAAGAATAAAAATGAGAGTGAAAGGATCAACATTAGAAATAAAAGAGAGATTTGTTAAGAAAATTCTCATTTAATCATTGTGCAATCATGTCTATTTGTTGGTCGGTGTAGAAAAAAAAAAGGCATTTAATTTTATTCGTAGTATTGTTTTCATATAAGTATTTTTCTTCTCTCTTGTTTTAGACGTCAGTCGACCTTCATTCTTCTATTTTTATATTTATATCGTACAACATCTTAAGCTTCTATTTGAACCCTACTAGTATTATCTTGCATGATTGTTATGAAGCTGATTAGGATAGGTGCTTGTATTGATTAATTTACATTCTCTTTTTTCTTGTTCGGTGTCGCGAGACGATTAGATTGATAGATAGATAGATATACATATATAAAGCTTCTTTTCTATCTCTTTCTACCTTCTTAAAAGTATTCATATCAAACTGAATAGACAGACTGATGCGTATTTGCTTAAAGCTTAAATGAACACGTGCTGATGCTAGTGTTGTTGTCGTAGAGAGGCGATTATTGCATCTTTTCGTTCGAATAATGAACAATACACATATACATACATACATACATACATCGGTCAACGACAAGCAAGTGCCAATATACTTTGGATGATCAAAGTTTGCTTTGTTTCTCTGTCTATTGATAATTATACTTGTCGACAGTTAGATGATTACATTTTCATTTATTGTTTCGTCTACCTTCTAGATGGCATTTGCACAATTTCGAATATTATTTAAAAAAAATTTCCTTCTTCGTCGTCGACAACCGGTATATATTTAATTAATTAGATTTTATTTATATTTATGTTCTTGTTTTCTTTTTTTATTCATTAAAATTATTTTCAGGTACTTTTTCTTTTTGAACTTTTATGGCCTTTATTACTTTTTTGTATTGTTGCTATTGTCCGAAAAACTTCACCTACTCAAAATCGACCAGCATGTAAATTACTTTTTCAAAAACAAAACAAATTTTATCTTTATAAAATGTTTTCTTTCTATTTATTAACATAGGTTATTATAATCCCATGCCATTACCTAATAGTGGTACAATCGGTTTTCTTCAAAGTTTTTTGTGCAATACAAATGTTAGTTGTCGTTTAAAGCCCTTCGATGTTCAAACATCGTCGTTAAGAAATTAGTATGAATAAATATAATTTGTTTTTTGATTTTTTTATTTTTTCTCAAAACCTAAAAATATTTTTCTTATTGAAATTTTAGTTTTCCATCTGTTTATGATGGAATACTTGGTTTAACACAAACAGAAGGTGTAAATACTGTTTTAAATAATTTACCTAATTTAACACGTAGTGTTGATCATATCAATAATGCATTCAATGATACATTTTTATTAAAAATCTTAGATGGACAATTTCATATATATGATTTATTTAATAATACAAATGAATTGAAAAATGTTTTATTATTAACTGGAATGCCAAATGATTTAATTGATCATTTTCTAAATGGTTCATTTAATTTAACAGAAATTTATGATACATTTAATAAAACAATTAATATAGAACCATTTTGTCGAAATGATTTTCTTAATCATTTACTTACTGTTGATAATTTGACTAATCCTGATATTGTTATTCAAGCATTATGTCAATTAAATATTAGAAATCTTACAATGGATATCAATACATTTATTAATCAACTTAATTATAATACAATTAATAAATATGTAAGTTTAATAAATAAAAAAAATAGTTCATTGATAAATAAAAGGTTTTGTTTTTTTTTTTGTTTATTTAAGTTTGAGAATATTTCTCAATTAATAAATGGTCCAGAACTTAGAGATAAAATTCAACAACTGAGAAATCTTGAAAATATTATAAAAGAATTAAGTTCATATGCAGATTTAATAAAAAATATGCCGAATATGACAGAAATGGCACGAATAATTCCACGATTAGTACAAATTATTGAACTTGTACAAAATCAACGAGATTTAATACAACTGTAAGTTTAAATTGAATAATTTTAGTACAATTCATTCGAAACGTAACATACAGAACAATTATTCTTCGATGACTAGATAAGCACATCTTATATGACTAGTTTAAAGAAAATCTATTCTCTGAAAATCTCACATCAGGTCTAAACTGATCTTTTTCAGTGTGAAGATCGAGAAATAGAGTTCAGTGTTTCCAAAAATTATCCGAAACTGTTGAACTCTAGTCTTTACTTATGTCGCTATGTTTCATATTTCGCAATGAAGTAAGAATATAGTATACTATTTGCTCAAAATCGTTTTTAGAAATTATTAAAACTGATGGAACAAAGCATTTTTATTTATGATGAAAGCCTCTCAATGAATTAATCGCTCTTGAGTTGGGATCATATTTATCAAGTAAATCCTGATGAGTTTTGAAAATTCTAGAAAAAGTTCGTGTCATTTGCTTATTATTGCGGAATCTTTCAAGTCAAAATTGTATTCCCTAATAGAAGCACTAGTAAAACTGATTGATAAATTACGACTTCATATTTTGCAAGAAGATAAGCTTTAATGGTGTTCACTCTTTTTTTTGAATATTGCTAGTTCTTGAAAATTATACAACTGATTTATATGAACTTTTTATCGTATGTAGAGCATCTAAAATAAGAAGACATGTGTTCGAAGAAAATAATTTTACAGAAAGTATTCATGGTTTTTTGGAAAAATCCTAGTTTTTTTTATAGAACCACATTGGGCTCACTAACGATACTCTCTAACGTTGTTCAATTGGACTGAAAATTTTTTAAAGATACCTTAGACTGTATGTCAGGGATGGTTCTAGGTTTGTTGAAAAACTTCACTTTTGGTGTTCAGGACTATTAGAACTTATAGGAAGGTTAAAAACGAAAGCGATTGATTTCATCTCCAAAGAATTCTTCTAAATATCTATGGTCTACGGATTAGTGTCTATCTTCTTCAAGAAGTAGAAATAGTATAAAAAGACTAGGGTACTCTTAGACATAATTATAGTTTGTATACACTCTTAGATTTGATGTTCTTATTTCATGATAAAAATAAATTAAAAGACCTGAAACTACTCTTGTTACAGTTTGTCTCTATGCAAAGTTTCAAGTCGAAATTTGAGAATCACTTTTACTGCAGTTTCTACAGTAGCCATGATTTTGATTTAAAAAATACTGTACAACTGCAATACTTTCATAATAATAATCTGACAAGACGAACTCATTTCAGAGTATTTATAATTCATTAGATTTTAGATAATGTACATGGTTTCGATTAAAAAGTAATTAATCATTGAAAGACTTTTCTCAATAATTTAATTGATATTTTCAAGATATCATTGATAAATATTTATTTTAAAAAATTTATTCAAATCATTTGTATACATCTCAAATTTCTAGTTTTGGACAAATCTTAGTTGACTTACATATCATTACTGAAGAACATATTATATTACAATTGTATGAAATTACTCAAATGTTTGTCGATTTTCTTCAACGTTATGATAATATGAGTAAAAATTTCTAATAAAAAAATTTGTTTTTCTTTTAAATATTGATTTTGTTTTTTTAATTTTAAGCTCAAAGTTTAACAGCTGACCAATTATTTAATAATTTAACATTAAATATAATTTTACAATCAGATTTAACATTATCACAAACTTTTGAAGGTTCAATATTAACTTCGAAAATAAATTATCTTGCTGTAAGATTAAAATAGATTTTTTTTTTTATAAAATTATTTAATATATTTATTTACATTTCTTTTGTTTTTTTTTTTGTTTACAGTTATCAGAATTTCTTGTTGGAAAGATAACTGAAGCATCAAAATATCGATTATTTTGTCGTGAACCTGGTTTTTGGACTTTATTTATCATAGATGATGTTACTTCGAAAAATCTTAAAGATCGTGTTGATCGTTATTGTGGTATTCATAATAATCTTGATAATGTTTATAATAAATTAATGAATGGTATTCGTTTTGAAAAAGTAATTTATTTCATAGAAATTTATTTAAAAAAAAAATTTTTTTTTATTTTTAATTCTTAGTTACAAAATTATTTCAGTGATATGCGTCTTTTATCTGGAGCTTTTGAAGGTTTAGCAAGTATACTATTTGCAATAAATCAAGCAGGATCATTTGAAAATGATTTACGTTTAACACTGGATAGTGTTTCAGCTGTTAGTGAATTATTAACAAGAACACAAGTAGCTGGTGTTAATCTTTATGCGTAAATTATTTATTTAATTTTTTTTTTTATTAAATTTTTTTTAATTTTATTATTATAGTTCGTATAATTTTGTTAAAAAAATAACAAAAACCTTTAATCCAGATTTATTAAAAATGCCGGTATTTAATACACTTGATATAGTGATACCTGTTTTGACACCATTATTTAATTTGGATCAACTTGTTTCTGTAATAGCTGGTGTTCCACGTGGAACTATTGATAATATTATAAATAATATTAATATAATTAGTAATTTTTTAACAACACCAGCTCCGACAAAAGTAAATAATAGAATTCAAAAAATTTGATTTCAAAATTTTTTTTTCTTTTTTAACATTTAGATTATGCGTTTAACAACAACGGCAAATATTTCAAATATAAGAACAACAACAAAACCTCGATTACGAGCTCGTTATATTGATTGGTCAACACTTTTTCAAGGAAATAATTTTCTTCAACAAAACATGCCAAAATCTTTTGTTATTCCGCAAAATATTGCTGATTATAGCCAATGGGTCAGACGACAAAAACGAGTATGTATAATCTTATAATTCAAATCAAGTTCTTCTATGAATACAGTTAAATGTTTTTCAATGTAAAATGCATTCAAATATATAGACTTCCATTCTTACAAATTTTTTCTTTCAAATGAAAATAGGAAAAACCTCGATAGTCTTATGCATATATATGGGCATGAGTGGTTTTTTTTATAAAAGATACGAATCCCTGCAAAATGTAAAATAACATGTATAGTATTCAAGGAAAATATTGGAGTTGCAAAGGTGAAAAATATGCTTCTATTTATACCCTTCTTTCCGAATAAAAACATCAAACTCTTGAGCGCATTCTCAAAAGCACATATCTGTTTTTACTGACGTTCGATCTGTAAGCTGCAACAAAAATCAGAGATGTATCATATTTTAAAATAAGAAAAAGTAGAAATTCAAAACGCTTTCTAATATAAGTAGAATAAAGTGTCAGCTCAATCGGATGCCCTTTCTTTGAGAAATGAGGGACGATTATTCATTTTTTTTGTCAAAAACTTGGTCTTTAAAAAACAGTGAAAATGTTTCATATTTTCCGATCGATAGAGAATAGTTCGAAGTGTATATAGAATAGAAAATAACAAAATGAAAAGTTTTGATAGGAAAAGAACTGAGGCACCCAATTTATTCAGCAGAGTCTGATGAATTGTGTAATTCATATTGATATACAACTGCTATCAAAATATTCATCAATTTACAGTTGTATATGATTCAAGACCTACGAAACTATTATTTCATTCGTCTCAAACAAAAGATCATACCCAACAGTTGAATGCCGTTCAACTTCATAGTACAGCTACAAAACGAAATTTTTACTGAAAACAAGATATTGAAAAGAAATCAAAAACAAAAAGTTTCGATCTGAAATTTGGTCTATAGACACATTGGATAATCATTAAATTGTCTCAAACATTTCAACGAAAACAAACGTGTCTTTCTCGAGATATTCAATATCCAAGAGGCAATGATTTACCATAAGACGGCAAAATAATCGAGTTTACTTCAAAATCGAATATCTCGAGAAAGACACGCTCATTGTTCTTGAAACTTTCAGACCAGGCTTTAGACTATCAAACGTGCACATAGGCCAAAATTTAGGTTCAAACTCTATGTTTTGAGTTTCTTGATAATGTCTTACTCTCAATAAGAGTTGTATTACAATGTCTATAAATCTTTATCAATAGAACATGTATCCGAAACTTTCTTGTTCGTTTAGTGACTATATATGAAACAATACTTTTCTACTTTTTTTTTCAATATATTTGATTTCAAATCTAATAAAATAAAATGTTTTTCTTTTTTGTTTTAAGCAACTTGATCTATTATCTGGTTTTCTTGGTCAAACACAATCTTCGAATTCTGTCAGTTCAGCATTACCTGCCATGCCTGATTTTGTTAAAATGTTCAATAGATTTACTCCTGAAACACTCGAACTTCTTTGTATAGAACCATTAATGAATCTAATACCAAATGATCCTGTACTTAATTATATATTTGGTATTGGACGTGTATTTGAATTAATTAATACATTTATGTCAATAATAACATCAACAAATCGTATACGTTGTTTACAAAATCCTAATCATGATTATGATCAAATATCACAATTTTTACGTTTAAATAAAACAGTTGGATTAGTAAGAAAAAAAAGAAAACTTTAATTTCTACTTTAAAATATCTTTGTTTTTTCTTTTTAAGATTCGTGATCTTGTTAAAAATGGTTTTCAATCAAAATTTAGTTGTTCATTAATAGTTGATGTTGTTAAAAATATTCAAGTCTATCAAAATTTAGTTGATATTATGGAACATAATACAATAACACTTGATACACTTGATTGTTTAAAAGAAACATTACTTCAAATATTTGAACGTTTAAAAATTTTACCTGGTTTATTTCGTTTTATATTTGGTGATTCATCATTAATAAAAACAATAAAACAATTAGTTCCATTAATTAAAATATTTTCACCAATTCTTTCTCCACAAACAGTTAAATTTGTACAATTAAATGATATGATTGAAAATGCAAACAATTTTACATTATTTTTACAACAAAAACGAAATATAACATCATTTAATCAATGGTATTTTAGTACAAAATTAGTAAGTATTTTAATTAGTGAAAACAAAATGAGTTTGAGAATAAATAGGACGACATGTGTGAGTACACTCACACTTTCATTAAAAGTGGTTGACCCTAATTAACCTTAATAGACTCTAATAGATCTTAGTAGATTGTTTAAAGAAAACTTTCGTATAACATTTAGAAAGTTTAAATTATTTTGCAGTTCATTTGAGTTCTGAATTTATTGAAATATATAAAAACAATATTGTAGAAACATTATTTTTGCAAATTAAATTATTCTCATTATCGATTCTTATTCTGAGTTCAATCAAAACTTTATATCTGTCTTATACACATTAGTTTTCACTTCATATTTGTGAATAAACCATTTAAATGAAAAGAGACTTCATCTGAAGAAAAAAAACGATTCTGATTGTTGATATTTTCACTAACATTGGTATCAATATGATATCATGTGAACTTACATTTTCTCAATATTCTTCAAAAAAAGTCGTTGGAAGAATGGCACATTGTAAAGCTTCATTGGAAGATATTTAGTCATAATTCAGCCTGCTATGTTTCGTAGCATAAACCAGGTAGCTGAGGCAAACTAAGCACTCGATAGTAACACATTTTCACGAACTGATTTCATAGAAGCATTGAAAGAGTCTCTAATACAGTCCACGTCTGATATTTGTATGCTTTGGATACGGTAGTTTTTAAGGAAAAGTCATAGAAAATGCAACATTCCATCATTTCGTTATCTAGAGAATTGCATACAGATTTCGAGCACTTGAAAACTATCGTGTCTGGGTTTTATAAACCTTGTCATCATAGTTATTCGAAATTTTCATTGGCTATTAAACTCACTATTTAGTTTTGAGCTAGGTGCTTAACATTTATGATTTATTCAACATGAGCAACTCTTCGAGAAACGGATTGACGTGCTCGGATTTTTTTACATTACCCTCTCGGAGAAAAAATTCTGGATAAGATACGGTTTGACAGTATAGAAAAAAAAATCAAAACTATGTTGTTGTTAAACTTTTTTCTACCGTCTTCAATAAATTTAACATTATTTTATTTTATTTTTTAAAGGGACGATTAGAATCACCAGGTGATCTGAAGGATATTTTTTGTAATCGAAATAATATTGTGGATTATGTTATTTCATTTCATGATCCAATTAGTGTATTAGAATGGAGTTTATGTGCTACTGAATCATTATATATTCAAGGTTATCAAGAATTTATGCAGCAATATGGTGGACCTCTTCAATTGAAAGTAAAACTTGAAATGATTCAGAGGATTGTTTTTTTTTGTATTTTGGTTTTTATTTTTAAGAAATTTAATGGTTTGAATATTGAACGTTTGATTAATGAAATACCGATGATAAAAGGTGACTTTGAATTATTAAGTAATGAAAATAAATGGTTAATACCACTTATTGATGGAATTAATAGACCAGATATATCACCAAAAGAAATTTATAAAGTATTTACAAATTTTACAACTTATCTTCCAGAATTTCAAAGATTAAAATCAAAGTAAAAAGAAAAATAATTTAATTATTGAGTTTAATCATTTTGTGATTTCATCATTTTATAGTGTTTCAAATCTTGTTGAAAAATACTTTTGGGCTTTACCAGATGAAAGAACGCAAAAGATGATTTTATCTATTGTTGATGGTCTTGATATCATACATAATTTGAGTATTGTATTACAAGATGCTTTAAAAGGATGTAAGTGAGAAAAAAAAAAAGAAAATTAAATATGTGAATAAATTATGTTTTTTTAAATCTTTTTATTTTTGTTTTTAGTACCTGTAAAAGATATATTTCTAAATATTACATTTATCACTAATAAATTAATGAAAGATTGTGGCTTTTCTAATTCTATGATTGAACTTTTTAAACAATCTCGTTTATTCAAAGATCCAACAGTAAGTTTATTATTTATTTACATATTAATTTTAATTTATTACTTTTTCTTTTCTTTTTTTAAGATTTTATTTAATCTATATGCTGATTATCAACAAACTGTATGTGATGTTAATTTATTAAATAATACCATTTATAAACCTTGGCCGTATTTACAATTTAATTCAAATATAAGTATAGAAAACTTATCAAAATATGCTTGCAATATGTCATTAGAAAATCAAAGCAAAGTTCTCAATACAATATTGAAACATTTTATTGTACCAAATAAATTACAAATGGTAAAAAAAGAATATTCTTAATTGATTTGAGGTATTTTTTTTTTCTTTTTTTTTGTTAAGTTTTATAAACGTGGTGGACAGCATATTATGAATTTATTTAATATGGATGAAAAAGAAATAGATGTTTTTAAACAAGTTGGTCCTATTGTAAGCGATGTTAATGAATTATTAAAACGTGTTAAAAGATTAAATCAACAAATTGATCCATCACAAAGTAAAATAATCATTAAAATAAAAAAAATTTTTTGTTTTTGATTTTATTATTTAAAAAAAAAAAATTTTAGATCAAGATCAATTTGCAAAAATAACAAATATATTTTGTGGAGAAGTTGATAAACCATCAAATCTACAAAGACAAGTTGCTGATGAAGATAGTTTTTTTGATCAAATTAAAGATGCATTAAAAGAAACAAATAAATCAGAATCATCACGTCAACAAACTTCAGAATCAATTGATGAAGGTAAAATAATAAGTGTAAATTTATTTAAACAAAAACAAAAACTTATTTTATGTTTCTAGATGATGGTGTTGATTGTTCAGATATAAGAAGAAGTATTGAACAAAGTAGTGATGTTGGATATATTGTTTGGCCATTGATTAAACCATTACTTCTTGGAAAAATTTTATATGCACCTGCAACACCAGTTTCAGCTGCAATTATTGCAAAGGTAGTTTTTCATTTCTTTAGTTGTATCAATCGATTACGTAAGATTGAAACAAAAAGAAAACAATCATTTGTTTCGATTGTATTTTAATTTCGTAGAATGTCGAAGCACAATATAAATTATTCTGTAATCCAATCTTAAACAATTGACTAAAGCTATTGAATTTTGATCTGAAACTTTATGCATGTAAAGAACTCAACTAGAGTAGCTTTTATAAAAAAAAAAAGAAAAATTCAGAACATTTGAACAAAGTCTCTTTGAGATATGAAACTTTCAAAAAAGCTGTTAATGCAATCTCCGGAGGTTTAAAATGTGAAACACAATGTAACTGTTGTTAATAATCATAAAATGATTGTTTTATTCTATCTATTTTTGGACACATTGCTTCATAACGAGGCGTTATTTATATACGACCTGTGATCTTATCAGCAATGGTTTGTCACGTCTATGATGAGCCGCTCCTCGTGTGTCTTTCATGTCTATGTGAGAGTAAGTTCAAATGACTACTCCAATACTTTAATAGTCCTTTCAGGTAGTGTGTCACAAAATACATGTTGTACACATTCATAGAAAGGTGTTGATATCTCGAAGCGGCTTTTTTTAAACCTTGTGAATTTCATTTATGGAAGTTAATCTAGTTAGGTTCTCTATATGCGCAGAGTTCCAGATCAAAATTCGAAAGTAGAAAGAACCCAAATCCTTGTATAGTTTTTATTAGAAAATTATCTAATATCTATAGGCAAAAAGCCATTCGAGTCAGAAAGGAAGATCTAAGAAGGTTCCCTCATCAGTCAGGTGCAAAGTCCGCAAAAAGGTCACCCTATACAGTTCGGCTTTCGTTTTTGTTTTTAACATGTGACAAGAATAAAATCTTCACTTGTCTGTTCTAACAATGATATGAACTTATCTTAAAAGACCTATAAGTAATTTACTTCCAGTAACAGAATTTGATGATGAATATCAATTGATACATCTCGATGTAAAAAAAAAGAAACATTTTTTGTTTTAAAGGTCAACAAAACATTCGAAGAATTAGATAAAATTCATCAATTTGCAAAAACTTGGGTTAAATCTCCACTTAATTTAACTGCTGTATTTGATGATCTACAAAATACCAATAATATTAGAGTAAGAAACAAAAAAAAAACTTATCTAAAATAATTCTTTCTTTTTTTTTTTCGATTATTATTAATTATATTCTAGAAAGTCTTATCAAATAATTTATTTCAAGAATTATTTAGTAATATAATTGGAATGAATACATTTGGTATGAAATCTATAATATCCATGTTAGAAAATTTTAGTGGTGGAACAAATACTGATGTTTTAAAAAATATTGAAATGATTATGAAACAATTTAGTGATTATTTACCATGTATTGAATTAAATCGTTTTGAAGCACTTCAATCTGAAAGTGAACTTGTTGAACGTGCTAAAGAATTACATCGAAATCGAATGGTTATTGCTGGTAATATAAAAATTAACAAAATATTCTATAAAAATAATTTACATATGATATTCTTTTTCGTTAGGAATTATTTTTACAAATTTAAATAGTTCAAATCCAAATGCTAATTTTCTTCCACCACATATTCAGATTAAAATTCGTATGGATGTTGATAGTGTACGAACAACAGAACAATTATCAAGTTGGTTATTTTTTCCTGGTCCTGAAAATGATTATTTTCGTGAAATGCATTATTTACGAGGATTTGTACAATTACAAGATTTAATTGAACGTGCTGTTATTGATTTACATTTTGAAGATACAAATAAAATTTCAACAAATCCTGTTGTCTATATGCAATTAATGCCTTATCCATGTTATCGTGGTGATCCGTAAGTAGATTCTTTTTTTTTTTTTTGTTTACTTAACGTTTTATTTCGTTTAAATTTAGTGGAAAAGAATCATCGTATGTTAATTATTTTATTTTACCAATATTGGGAACATTAATGTGGACAGGTAAAACTTTAATTTTTGTATTTAAATTTAATAATATTTTTAATATTTAGCTACATTGGGTGTATCAATAAAAAATTTAATGCGTGAACGTGAAAGAAATGTTGAACAAGTATTGATTAAAATTTATTTATTTATTTTAAATTCGCTTTATTTTTGTTTAGACAATGAAAATTATGGGTCTTAATTCAACTGTAAATTTTATTTCATGGTTAATTACTTCATATATACCAATGTTTTTTGTATCAATTATTGTTGCTGGTAAAGTATAGAAAAATCAAAAAGATTTTTTTGTTTTTTAATTAAATTTTTTTTATATTATAGTTGTTCTTAAATATGGTGGAATTTTTCCAGCATCAGAACTTACTGTAACAATAACACCATTACTTACTCTTGCTATTTCGGCATTAATGCTTGGGTTTGTATAAATTTAATAACTTAAAATAGTGACGACTATGAAAATCATGTTTACATAATTGTATTTTTTTCCTTTTATTGTCATTGAATCATATTGAAGATAGATTTGTACAAAGATTTGATATTCTTAAGATAAAGTATATCAAATTCATCTGTGTCAGATATTAAGATTTAGATAATTTTTTCAAGTACAAGAGGCTAAAAATTTGACATACAAAACATGAGAAGTAAGAACGCTAGTTCACTCGAGTCCTTTCCACTTTGAAGCCTATGATTATATGGTAAATAAGCCGTTTGATTGAAATAAGTTAACTTTAAATATTTTTGAATTTTATCTATTTCAGTTAGAACAAGATTATAGAAAATTATCAAATCTATTCTTAAATAAAAATGATGGATTATATTCTAATTTTGATTATTGTTTTTTTAGGTATTTAGTTAGTGCTTTTTTTACTAAAGCAAATTTAGCTACATTATGTGGCATTTTAGTCTATTTTATCTCGTATCTTCCATTTATTCTTGTTATGTTTCTTGAAGCTAAAATGCAATTAATTCATAAATTATTAATTGTAAGTTTATTAAAATTATTTTATTTTTATTTTTCGAATATTCTCGAATTCATCAAATAGAATTTATCAAGTGCAACAGCATTTGGTTATGCATCAATATATTTAACACGTTTAGAATATCAAGGTGAAGGTATTCAATGGAATACAGTTTTTAAAAATATATTTCCAAATGATCAAATGAATTTCGGTATTGCTTGTATAATGATGTTGGTTGATGCAGTTATTTATGGTCTTATTGGCAATTATATACGTGCGGTAATACCGAGTAAAAATGCTCGTAGAAAACCATTTTGGTATCCATGTTTACCATCGACATGGTGTTTTTGTAAGAAATCAAATCGTTATGATGGACTAAATTCAGCATTTCGTATTGAACGTGAACATCAACCAAATCCATTTACTGCTCGAATGAAACGTAAGAAACGAGTGTTGAAGTATACGGGTAGCAGGAAGAATGTTTCTAGCTTGCGATATGAAGTACTGCTGTCTAGTGGCATTCTCAATAGCCTGATATTTTCGCTACAACTAATACTAGCTATAGTTTTCAACAGATAGCCAGTCTGATACTTAGTTATTGACCTTACCTTACATACTAATTATACGAGTAGATGCACATCATAACCTAGTCCGCATTCTATCAGACGGGTGATTCGAGACAAATAGCCATGAGTGGCCTGTCTAGCGCCATTCTATGGCTGATGATACTGAAGTTTGAGTATATAATATATTAGGAACACATGTGATTTATAAGAGTGAAAATTTCCCTTCAACACAGATCGTAGTATTAAAACTGAAGTCAATTGGATTCTTCACAATAATATGATCGATATAGTTAGAGTACTTCGTAACGAGTGGAATAGATCTATAGTATTTTTCATATTCAAATCTTCAAGAAATAACATTGAAAATTGATTTTTCTTATACTTATAGAAATTGATCCAAATAATGAGCAAGAACCAACAAATTTACTAGTTGGTATATCATTTGAAAATTTATCAAAACAATTTGGTGAAAATAAAAAAGCTGTTGAAAATTTATCATTAAAACTTTATGAAAATCAAATAACAGCTTTACTTGGACATAATGGTGCTGGAAAAGTAATAAATATCGTTTTATATTATATCTTAAAATAAAGAAAGAAAAAAAAACGAATAAACTTTTTTTTATTTTATCTTTCAGACAACAACAATTAGTGTTTTAACTGGAATATATCCTCCAACAAATGGTTCAGCAAGTATTTATGGACAAGATATAACAACAGAATATGATCAAATAAGAAAAAATGTTGGTTTATGTCCACAAGAAGATATTCTATTTGATTTTATGACTGTTCGAGAACATCTACAATTTTATGGTCGTTTAAAAGGAAATATGAGTTCAAAAGAATTAGATAGAGATATAAATGAGTATGTTTAATTTAAATAAAAAAAATAAATAATTACATTTTATTTTTCTTATATATAGACTTTTAAGTAGTATGGGTTTATGGACATTTCAACATGAACGTGCATCATCATTATCTGGTGGTGTAAGACGACGTGTTGCAGTTAGTATTGCATTTGTAGCTGGTTCAAGAACAGTTATTCTTGATGAACCAACATCAGGTGTTGATCCATGTGCAAGAAGAAGTATTTGGGAAGTTATATTTAAACATAGAACTGGTAGAACTATTCTATTAACAACACATTATTTGGATGAAGCTGATACATTAAGTGATCGAATTGCTATTATTCATCAAGGTTAGTTTTTATTTTGTTAGATGATTAAATCTAAAAAAAAATATGTTATTTGATTTAGAAGTTGAAGATCTTAACATGAATTAATGAGTAGTAGTAAAAATGAGTTTTCAAGTTGAAATGATAAAAATCTGCATAAAATAGAAATCGTCTTAATAGATCTGTTTTTCTTTTCGCAATTGCAGTCTATGTAGAAATGTACAGTTTCAGTTTACTAACCACAAACTTAGTTCAAGTAGTGCATACGAACATCAGTGAACTCTGTTTCGGTGACTGACTATCAGTATTTACACCAACACTGCACATTCTTATAGCTTAATTCAAGTCAATACATCAAAGAATACTGACTTAGATAACCTGCGCGAATAATAACGAAAACAGGCATCGATGAAATGAACAAATCATGTTTAAAAAAATAACTAAACTTATATTAATATATTGTTTATTTTCATGTTTATGTAGTAACTTCAAAAGTCTTAGACAATTTGTATTGTTTCACCTAAAAAAAATTTTTGACATGAACGTCATATATGATTAAAAGTTCATCTAAGAGTCTTACCGAGTCGCCTTCTCGCTACCTGTTCAGATCGTAACTACAATAGTGCTTATAATTTTTATATGGATATAATATTGATCTTTTCATTGAGCAATTGTAGAAAGCCATCATGGATTTTTGAGAAAATCTTCTAAAATTAGAAGTTTTTCTTATGAATATTCAATCTAGACACTTTAGAAGTCATCTCATATATCTTTATTTCTAAGAAGAATCAAATTTTCTGTTAATGTTTATCTTTCTAAAAGAAAAAAAAGGATTTTGTTTTCATTATTTAGGTCGATTATTATGTAGTGGTTCATCAATGTTCTTAAAAAAACGTTTTGGTAAAGGTTATAGTTTAACAGTTGATTTAAAACTTAGAGTACAAAATAAAATAAAAATTGTTGGTAAGAAAAAAAAAAAAAATCATATAGATGAGTTTTCGTATTATTATCTAATATTGTACTGTTGTTTTTAAAGAAAGTAAACAATTCAAAGATCTTAATACATTTGTATTACAAGAAATGCCTGATGCAACATTACGTGAACAAATTGGTACTGAAGTAACATATTCATTTAAACATGAACACCGACATAAATTTGCACGATTATTTAAACAAATTGAAATTAATAAAGAACGATTAGCTATTGGAAATTATGGTTTATCAGATACAACACTTGAAGAGGTGGGAGTTTTTTTTTTTCAATAAGCAATTTATTAAATAATGAATAAATTTTTTTTTTTAAAAAAAAACAAGGTTTTTCTTTGGGTAACAGAATTAGCTGATCAAGGAAAAATGGAGGATTTAAGTGAAAATTTGCCTGTACCAAAAATTGTCATTGATCAAGCACCTATCTCATCAGCTCATAGTGATGATAGTGGTCTCGGTGGTGAATCCAATGCAACCATGGATGGTAAGTTATATTTACGAGTCATTGAAAAAACAAAAAACACTCATGAATATTGAAATTTATTCAATCGTAGCAAAATGAGCGTCTATATTTAGATAATTGAAAACAGCAAAAAAGAGCTAGGAAGTGATCATGTTTATTGAATAAATATTTTGAAAAATTTCTTTTCGACCCCTGACTTTGTACATATGAAAATCTCTTTTACACGATCTCATATATTAAATTTCATCCATATTCAATATCGCATTGTAAATATATGAATTTTTCAAAATATTCATATTTTACATAGCATTAGGAAAAAATGTCAATATTTTGAGAAACTCGTATGTTGACAAAGCGATATTTAAAACGGATAAAATTTAATATGTATGAATATTATGAATGAGATCTTCATACATAATGTATACATGAAGGTTTCACTTAGACTATGTCATATATTGAATTTCGTCCGTCTTCAATATCAGTTTTTTTTACACAAAACTTAAAGAAAACAAATATTTTGATAAATTCGTATAGTTGATAATGTAATATTCAGAATGAACGAAATTTAATATATGACATTGTCTAAGTGTCAACTTTATGTATACGAAATTGTAAGTTGAAATTGAAAAATATGTTTTTTTTTTTGGAAAGTTGCTTATCCAAAAGGAATTCAGTGAAAAGTTGTTATCTCGAATAAATATGGAAAAAAAGTCAGAATGTTTTGGATGTAATGCTATTTTCGTTCTATTTATGACTAACTTTATGTATAGGGTAGAAGCATTACATATAACATTTTCTTTCTAAAGTATACTTGTTCGATTATGGTTCTACAAGTCGTATAAGAGATTATACTAACTAGAACGAAGCAACTTTTGTACGCCTTTGGAAGTGCTCATATAAAGAGTTTTTATTGTAAAACAATCACGTTCCATAGATGACTATAAACAGAGGGAATAATTGTATCTCTAGATAAATTACGAAGTAAATACTTGAGTCTTTTCTCAAAAGACAGTTCGTGCGACACTCTAAAAAACAAAGCCTTACGAAAATAGATCTTCCAACCAATAGCTATGGAACTATACCTGATCAACTTTGCAATGCGCATTTTGATAAAACTAATGATTTCACTTCTTCTAATAAAAACAGATACCTAGATCCTACTCTGTTGCAATTTTTCTGTGTTTTCCGGTATACTCTTTCTAATAAAACTCAAAGGAAGATATTCGGATATGATCACCTTTTTGAAAACTGAGTTGTAACAAGCGATCGTTCTCTTTATATACCTCAAGTATTGTAGAAAAAAAATTTCGTATCAATTTGCGTACATTGAAATGATAGAGAAAACAATTTCTTACAACTGACGAGGGAACATTTTCAACTGTCCAAAAGCTCTTGAGTTCGAACTCTTTTCATGAAGTAGCACCCCATTAAGGTAGAAAAATATCCCAAAGTACTATATATCCATAGCTCTTCTGTCTGGAATTAGAAGCATTTACTGGAATTTCAGCCTCTAGCATTCTACGTACCAAAAAAATCGAACTATGGTATTTCAATCTGAAATTTTGTCTGTAGACTAGTCTGTACGTAAGTAGAGTCCAATGAAAATTTTAGCTCAAAATTATGTTGCATTCTTGAGATATTTGAGTATCAAAAATACAAAAATTCTAGCATTTTCCATGATACTCGATTCATTTTTAGGAGTTGAATATCTCGAGAACACACAAGATTATTTTGAGCTGAAATTTTCAGTGGACTCTACTTATGTACAGACTAGTCTATAGGCGAAATTTCAGGTTGAAATACCATAGTTTAAGTTTTTGATATGTAGCATGCTAGAGGCTGAAATTTCAATAAATGCTTCTAACTCCAGACAGAAGAGTTATGGATACTTAGTATTTTTGAATTTTTTTCTACCTTATGAAAAGAGTTCGAACTTAAAAGCTTTTGAACAGTTGAAAATGTTCTCTCGTGAATAATAAATCTAGATTTGAAATAATTTGTCATGAAAGATAACAAAATTAAAATTGTGATGAATCTTAACAGAAATTTCTTCGAACGCGCATAAAAAAAAAAGAACAAAGAAGTATTCCGTAAATAAAAAGAACTTTTCATAGGATACAAAATGGTCTCTTCAATCTCTTTATATTTTACCAAAAGAGAGTCACAAAATCGTAGATATAAAAATGAGTACGTCGCAATTTGAAAGAAATATTCTCAACATACTAAGAAGCTCATTTCTTCTGACACACTTTTAAATTTTAAAAATTAAGATTTTATTAACTGATAATCTTCTTAAAGGTATATCAATAATAAGTGGAAGTAGTGCACAATTACCAACAATATCAAATGCAACTTTAAATCCTCCACCAACATATATTAAAATAACTGGTCGTAAATTATATTTTCATCAATTTCAAACATTATTATTAAAACGTTTTCATCATACAAAACGTAATTGGAAAGTTTTTCTTTCACATATTCTTCTTCCATTAATATTTGTTGCTATGTCAATGGGTTTTACATTATTACGTCCATCACAAATATTTCAACGATCATGGTTATTAACACCAGCTATGTATGATCAATCAGCAATGTTTGTTAAGTAAGTTATACATTACATATATATATATATAGAGTTTTATAAATAGTGCATACATAAAAACAAACAAAAAAAAAAAATTAAATATATATAAAGGTGAGAAGAGATCGACTAAAGAAAAAGAAAAGGAAACATAACGGAATGAATTTGTCTAATAATTGATATATAAATGGGAAGAATTAATAACAACATTCAAATTGCACGATATATATATATTAAATTAATAATTTTAATTTTAAAAAAAAAAGAAATTTTTTTTCTAACATCGTGTTTCATATAAACCACTTTTACCAATATATCGTACCCATTTAATTGTATCTGAATCCGAATAATTAAGTTTATGTTCAAATACTTTAAGATAACGAACTTTAAAACCTGATGGTGCAAATGGTACTTCAAAACTCATTGATATTGGTGGACGATTCCATTTTTTTTTATCATTTGGTAATAATTCAATTTCAGCACTTAATTGTGATTCTTTCATACCACCCATACGTTTCATTTTCCATACAATAGCATTATCAGATGATTTATGTTTAGCTTTACCTTTCATACATAATAATTGTACATCACATGTATTTGGTGGTGTTGGTATACGTATTTCAATTTTTTGTCCAATAAGTGTTGGTTTAAAATTTGATTTAACAACAACTTTAACTTCCATTTTTGTACGACCTATTTCACGTACTAATGGTATAACACGAAATGGTAAACTAATATCTTTTGTTGTTCGATAACGCATTAATTCAAATTCACCATCTGGTGGTATAAATGATATTGAATGTTCAGATTCAAATTTTGATAATTTAACACATTGATGAAATTGACAATCATCAATAGCAATAGCTGTTTTTGTTGTTGTTGTTGTAGATGTTGTTGTTGCTGTTGTTGTTAATGATGAACCATTTGTTGTTGAAGAATTATTTGTTGTATTAATTGAATCTAATGGATTTTTTGATCGATTTTCAACTGTTATTTTATCATTAATACCAAATTTACATTCAGGCATACCTGATAAATAACTTTTCATAACAACACGACCAGCAACATGTGTACTTAATACTTGACCTTGTTGTGACATAAGTAAATTAACAGATTCAATAACATCAAGAAATAATTCATTACGACGATATTTAATACCTTCACGTCTCCAACCAATTTGTCCAGTTACAGCTGATGTAACATTTGTTTGTTCTTCACGTGTAACTGGTCGTACACCTTGTTGTGTTATAAATGATTTTAATACACCTGTATCACTATTTTGTGGATAACCAAAATCAAGTATTTCATCCAATAATTCATATATTAAAACAAAATTATTTTTAACATTTTCTTCACTTATTTTACCAAAATATGATTGCATTATATCAATCATTTTATTTAAAAATTCAAATACCATAGCAGCATTTATATTTTGTTTAGCTACAGCACATAACCATATATTTGAACGTTTTGTATAAAAAAAACTTGTACGTGCTATATTAACAACAGGAAAACGTGATTGTTGTCGTGCATGAATAACATTAACACGAAATGCATCAACAGCATTTCGACCAATATCATCACGATAGACACGCTAGAAAAGAAAAAAAAAAAGAATTTACAATTTTTATAATTAAGATAATAATAAATAGAGAGTCTTTTTTTTCTTTTTATCATACCGAAATGAGTACTTCTCCTTTATGATTATAAATAAAAACGCCACCGATCATCGTTTATCTATTTAAATGATAAGAAGATGAGATTGAATGTGAATTAAAAAGTAAAGACAACAAATTTTGGATTAGTTCTGTTTGATTCCATAGAATACCATATTCGAGTCATCTATGCATCTTTTTCTTTCTTTTTTGTTTTACATTCATCCATATGTATACAATTAGTTTTTAGTTATAGAAATGACAATTATTGATGAAAATTAATAGATTTCTATAGAGTTTTCTTTCAAGAATGATGATTTGATGATAGAATTTAATAGTAGTGTTTTTTTACTTTGTTATGGCGCTGCTGACGCATCGATAAGTTTCACAACGTTGTGCAAATATTTGCGGTTGTATTTTTCTCTGTTCTTCTACTAAACATTGCTTGCTCCATAAAACAGATACACTCTTTGACGCAGTAAGTTATCGTCTGAGTCATTTCTCAATCTTTCGTCTTTTATTTTCTGTTACACACTTCCTTTCGTACGTTGTTTTATTTTTCTAAAAGAAAAAAGTAATAAGTATTGTGATGTCGTCCAAATCATTGGAAAAATATAAAAAATTACTTGCAAAGGACCCGCAACTCGATGACATATATGTAATTATTGATGTTAAATGGTTAGAACATTGGAAACGTTTTGTTGGTATCGAAAAATCAGATGAAGAAAAAGTCACTGAACCAGGTCCAATAGATTTTACAAAATTAGTTGATTCAGCAACGATCGATAATGCAAATGAAATACAACTTCGTTCAGATGCTGTCGAGAATAATGATTTTACCTTCATTCCGTATGAACTCTATAAAGACTTAGTAAAGACATATGATAAAAGAGGTCCTGAAATAATTCGTAAAGCAATTTCACAAGGTGAATATCAAATTGTAATTGAAACATTTCTTGTACCATTACGACTTCGTGAATCAAAATTTTCCCATGCTAAAATAAAGCAAATCTATCGTAGTCGTCGAACCAAAATAGAAGACATAAAAAAAGAAATTTGTAAAGAATTTCATCTTTCATCAAGTTCAAACCATCGTTTATATTCATCAAAGGATGAAAACTGTGTGGATTGGGAACCCATTGATGACAAATCAAATTTAACTCTTGAAGATATTGTTTTAACAAAAAATGCATTTATCATATATGAATCCCGGTCATTAGCAATGCAAAATTCTTCTTCATCTTCTGCATCAAACCAAAACTACACTCTCGGATCATCCTTATATTCTTTATCGAAAACATATTACACTCGCGGACTATGTGGTTTATCAAATTTGGGTAACACATGTTTTATGAATTCAGCTTTACAATGTTTATCAAATGTTCCAGCATTGACAGACTATTTTCTTCATGATGAATATAGAAAACATATAAATCGTGATAATCCATTAGGTATGAAAGGTGATGTTGCTCTAGCATATGGTGAATTAATACACGAAATGTGGTCTGGCACGGGCAATTATTGTGCTCCATCATCTTTAAAAAAAAATGTTGCACGTTATGCACCACAATTTAGTGGTTTTGCACAACAAGATTCACAAGAATTTATGTCATTTTTACTTGATGGTTTACATGAAGATTTAAATCTTGTCAAACAAAAACCATATGTAGAAAAAACAGATGATGATGGTAAAGCTGATGATGCAACATTAGCTGCTGAACAATGGGATTATTATCGAAAACGAAATCAATCAAGAATTCATGATATATTCCATGGACAAATCAAATCTATTGTACGTTGTCTTACGTGTGATACAGCAGCACGTACATTTGATCCAATCTGTTTTCTCAGTTTACCATTACCAGGCAAAGGAAAAATACGAACATTTAAGATCACCTATGTCCGTTTAAATGGACAAATAAAATCTTATGATATTAAATGCGATGAACATGGTCGTGTACGTAATTTAGTTCAAGAATTTTGTGATCGTTTTCAACAGAAAAAGAAAAAAATTGATGATGCTGTACCTATGGAGACTGATGCTGGATCGAAAGTCAATGAAATTAATCAAGATGAAGAGGAAGAAGAGGAAGAAGAAGAAGATTTCACAAAAGATTCAGATTATGATGGACATCAACCTAGACCAGATTATATTTTATCTGCTGAAGTTTATAATCATCGAATTCATGTACAGTATGCAGATAATCATTTATTAACACATATAATTGAACGTGATCAAATTGTTTTTTATGAAGTACCTGATTCATTAAAAACACCAGATAGCGAGAAGATTTTAATGCCTTGTACTTTTCGAAGTGATTATTATAACGAAAATTTTGGTTTACCTATTTATCTTAGTGTACCAAGACATAAATGTACAGGAAGAGATATTCAAGAAGCATTGGAGGTAAAGAATATGATACTAAATATCTTTGATAATTATTCATCTATATGTTATGATTCATTTTTTAGAAACGAATCGGTGATTTTCTTCCATTACCCCAAACGGATTCATTAGATAAATCATTTTACAATGCTATATTGATATTTAATCAAAATTATAATCAAATAAACAAATTATTAAAATCATATCTTGATGAACAAATTGATTTTTCCCGTAAAAATACATCACTTACCGTTGAAGTTACAGGATCTATCGTTGAAAAATATAAAAAACAAGAAGAAGAAAAACGTTCGGAAAAAGAACGTACTTCATCAATGGCTTCTAGTATTCAAACACGTAGTCAACAAAAACGATTAACAACATTATTAGATTGTTTTAAACTTTTCACAAAAAAAGAAACATTATCGGATGATGATTTATGGAAGTGTCCAAAATGTAATACATTAAAAAAAGCTACAAAAAAAATTGATCTATGGCTTTTACCTAAAGTTTTAATTGTACAATTAAAACGTTTCAATTATAATCGTTTTTTTCGTGATAAAATCGATTTATTAATTGAGTGTCCAATACGTAATTTAGATTTATCACAATTTGTTCTAAATCCATCTGAAAGAAAAAAAGCAAAATATGAATTAATTGCTGTTAGTAATCATATGGGTGGTTTAGGTGGTGGACATTATACAGCACATGCAAAAAATTCTTATGATAAAAAATGGCATACATTTGATGATTCATATGTATCAGATATTGATGAAGATCGTGTTATCAGTAAAGCAGCCTATGTTCTCATATATCAACAAGTAGAATCACAATCATAAGAAAATGAATGCACGAAGTGATAAAATATCGATTTGATTTTTTCGTGAAAACTTTTATTGTTTTTCTTTTCTTTTCGATGATGTTTTTTTTTTTATTTCAATTGAACTAAGCAAGAGAAAAGTTTTCATACATATATATTTTGATGTTCCTTTTATAGAAATTCAGCTTTCTTTTCTTTTTTGTTTTTTATTTTATTCTTGAGTAAAATATAACAATTTTTTTTTTTTTTAAATTTTATTTTTCTGTTATAGGTTATTCAATAATAATGATCAACTAGCACGAACTCTTGATAACCGTTTGAGAAATAATTCATTTCCAAATATTGGTACAACTTGTATGAATGATGCACCATTCTCATCACATAAAGAATTATATAAATGTGGTGAAGGTGATAAAAGTTTTTATGCACCAGTCGATTCAACTGACTACAATAAATATGCAAAATGTTCAGAATGTTTTACAAAAGCATTACAGGTAATGATTTAATATTTTTGTTCATTTCTACTATTCGACAAGTACGAATGAAAAAATAAAAGCGAATATCTCTTTAATAATACTAGTGAACATATATGTTTCAGTTTTGTAAGATCATTTTGAATAGCAGATGAAAATAGAATTATTTGAAACAAAATTGGAAAATTTTCATATGAACTACTTGAAATGTTAACAAGATATTCATGTTTCTGTTTTGTTCGGACTTTTGAAATATTTTGTATCTATATGTATATAATTAGATCTGCCCAAGTGATTCATTTGGACGACCACCAACACGAAAAACCAAATCTGGCATTGTGGTTTGTATTAAATGTTTTTTTTTTTTTGTTTTCATAATAAACTTTTTATTAATTGTTTTTCAAATCTAGTTGTATGATCTAGATGATTTTTCATTAAATGAATATTTACTTAAAAGTCATCATGCTTTTACAGATAACCGGTATGAAATATTGATTTTTTTTTTGTATAGATATAGAATAAATTGATTATTATTTAGTTATGGTGGTTTAACATTTGGTGAACAAATTGAAGATGATTACTTTAATCGAAGTCATGCTTTAGTTTGGTTTAATAATAAAGGTATTATAGATAGTCTTAAAAAAAAACAAACATTAAATAACAATGTTTTTCTTTTTTTCCTAAGGTTATCATGCTTTGCCATCATATTTAAATGTAATGAATAATTTAATTCTTCGTTCAAAAATTTCTGATCCAGCAATAGCTGCAAAATTTGGTATATCAACATATAGTCATCCATTTACATTAAATAGTGATTTATTATCTCAACAATCTCTTGAACAACGTATATCAGATTTTGGTGTTGCAATTACTGTTCTATGTGCATATTCATTTGTACCAGCAGCTGTTATTTTATATCTTGTACGAGAATATGTCACACAAGAAAAACGTTTAATATTTATTTCTGGTGTTAAACCATTAAGTAAAGAACCGTTTTTTTTTTAATCTCAATAAAATTATAATATTTTGTTTGTTTCCTTTTTTTTTTTAGTTTATTGGTTATCAACATTTATTTGGGATTTAGTTTATTATTTAATTTTAATTAGTTTAACGATGGCTTTGATCAAAATATTTAATATATCAGCATTTAATTCACGTGTTACAACAACTCAAGCAATATTTTGTTTATTATTTCTATATGGATGGTCATCAATACCATTAGTTTATTGTCTTGTTCGAGTTTTTAAAGATACAAGTACAGCATTTATGGCTGCATTTTGTCTTTGGATGTTTTCTGGTATGTTAACATGTATAGCTGATTTAATGTTAACATTATATGCATGGGTACCTGGTATAGTACGTGCTCAATCGATTTTATCACGTTTTTTTCTTGTATTTCCACCATATTGCCTTGGTTCTGGACTTGTTCATTTGATGCGTAATGAATTAATGGCTGATTTTGGTCGTACAGTCGATGCTAATCTTTATGTAAATCCATTTTCATTGAAACTTGTTGGTGATCGAATTATAGCAATGATTCTAATTGGTTTTATTGCATTAATAGTAACATATGTACTTGATTTAGATATTCGATTGCCACATTTTTTTTATAAAGTAAAACAAATAATTTAATATAAAAGTTTTGAAAATAAAAAATAATTTATTTATTATAGATTCCAGCACCAGAAACAACTATGGATGGAGATGTCATGGAAGAACGACATAGAATATTACATCCTAATGAAACAAATCATGATATATTACAAGCAAAAAGTTTAACAAAAGTTTTTCGACGTGCAACTGGTCAATCATTATTAGCAGTTGATCATTTATGTTTTGGAATATCTAAAGGTCAATGTTTTGGTTTACTTGGAATAAATGGAGCCGTAAGAGAAAATTATTTTTGTTTTCGATAAAAAATTGATATAAGTTTCTTTTTATTTGTTATATAGGGTAAAACAACAACATTTAAAATGATTACTGGTAATTGAATAGAATTTTTCTTGATTGTCATGACTTTTTTTTTTTGAATGTAGGTGATGTTCGTCCAACAAGTGGTGATTGTTTTCTATATGAAAAACAAATTCGTACTCAAGCATGTGAACATCCAGGTTCAATTGGTTATTGTCCACAATTTGATGCTGTTGATGGTTATTTAACTAGTCGTGAAGCACTTATGTGTTATGCAAAATTAATTGGTATAACTGATCGTGAACATGTTGTTAATTTAACACTAAAAAAATTTCATATGGAATCATTTGCTAATCGAATTATACGAACTTATAGTGGAGGAATGAGAAGGTAAGATAAAGAAAAAATGAATCATCTTTGAAATCAAAAGAAAAATTCTTTTAGAAAATTATCAGTAGCTGTTGCTATGCTAGGACAACCAGATTTGATATTATTGGTAAGTTTAATTGACTTTTCATATAAAAAAAAAGCCATATTGTTAATTTTTATTTTAGGATGAACCAACAAATGGAATGGGTAAATAAAATAAAAACAAAACTTTTAAAAAATAAAAAAAAATAAAAATTCAATTCAATTAATTTTGTTTAGACCCTGGAAATCGTCGTATCGTTTGGAATAATATAATTAAAGCTAAAAAACAAGATAAAGCTATTTTATTAACATCACATTCAATGGCTGAATGTGATGTTTTATGCTCACGTTTAGCAATTATGGTTAATGGACAATTTAAATGTCTTGGTACACCACAACATTTAAAACATCGTTTTGGTACCGGTTATTATTTAAAATTACGTCTTGAAGATGAATCATCAATACAAATAGCATCAAATATAGTTCATCAATATCTTCCAGATTCAAATATGACGGTTTGAAAAATAAACATTTTCGTTTGTATTTAAAATTTTAAAATATTTTGATTTTTCTTTTATATTTAGGAAAGACATGGTACACGATTAGAATATAATATTCCAAAAACATATACATTATCAAAAATATTTGGTTTTATTGAAACAAATAAAAACCTTATGAATGTTATTGATTATTCACTTTCTCAAACAACACTTGAACATGTAAGAAGAAATATTTTCTTTTCTGATATTTTATGAAATACGATCGAAAAGAAATGTTGAAGTATAAAGTTAAAAAAATGATTGTACATCAGTTAGAGTCTTGTTCTAACAAATGAACTACTTTTTTTTATTGTATTTCTAAAGGATTAAGTAAAAAGATGTGTCTCAAAATATGATACAGAATGAATCATCAAAGTCTTTGCACTTTATTAAAAAAAAAAGTAATTTGTGCATTGATAGCATTCAACTGTCTAAGCAATACCTGCTATAATAGATAGAGCTGACAAAAATTTTATAGATAATCGATTTCATTTTGAAAATATTCCATCGTAGACGGAAACAAAAAGTCTGTTAAAGTTTGATCTTATTTCGAAAAGCCATATCTATTCTGAAAGAGAGAAAATTTCGTTGCATGTTTCTATAATAAAAATTCAATCTCAGTTCTTTTTTCAAAAAATATTACACATTCATTCATAAGAGAATGCATCGCACTACTATGGTTATTTCATCATTTGAATTCATATTAATTATGCTCGACTGTATGCCATTGACAAAGTATTTCAATGGCTACAATAATATGAATGATTTACTACTTAGTCTTGATTTTAGAATGAGAAACAAGATACAATAATAATTATCACTAAATTTATATAGTTCTATGAAAACGAAAAACTCTTTAAAAACAATCTCTTTGAAGTAGATATTTTTTTTCTCTTATTGACTACATTAATAGTTCTATAACTACGGCAAATGTCAAGCCAAAAGTACCCGTTATTCAAAGATTCGTTTCCGAAAAGATTTCATATTTAATGAATTTCCTTTTTTCTTTCATACTACATTGAAACATTTTCGAAACTAAAATATTTCTGTCTGTTAGTTTTAATCAGCCCTATCGGTTGAAAGAAGAATCAGATCAAAAATTGAATGCTAAAAATGCAAAGAGGATATTACAAAAAGGGCTAAGTTTTTTATGGTCCATTCTCTAGAATAAAGCGATCTCTTTATGATTAGCAACATCATCTATATCATGTTTCACATTTAAATAAATCGGAACTTGTGCTAAGAACTTTTGTTTATATATATATTTTTTTTTATAGGTATTTCTTCGTTTTGCAAGTAAACAACGAGATAATTCTATTGCTAATCTTGAAGATGTTATTATCGATGATACAGCATCAATAGCATCATCAACAGTACATTCATTTGTTCAAACTACTGATAAAGGAAATAATACGTATTCACGTCGTTCGCCATCATTTACACCAAATCAAAATGATAATTCATCACAGACAGCAGCTGATATACAAGAACTACCAGTTATTGATAGTTGTACAGATCTTGTGCTTAATGTTGATCGTCCACCTTCATCAACATCAAATACATCATCTCAACAAGATGAACATGTCTTTCGTATATAAAGAGAGGACAAAAGAAACTGACGAAAATAAAATTCTTCTGTTTTTATTTTGTTTGCCAATTTTAATTTAAAATATATGTAAACATTTCAATAAAAGAAAACAAAAATTTAATTATCATCTTGTTTCACATTCTGATGGATCTTCATCCGTAGGATTATCTTTAGATGTTGTCGGTGGTTCCATATTTGCATACATAGCATCTAACATAGTTTTATTATCGCCATCCACTGTTGGCATTATATTGTCTTCATTCGAAGATTTTTCTAGTTGAAAAACAAAAAAAAAAATAAATAGAATTGTTATCTTATTGTAAGAATGTATATACCTTTGTTATCCATTATTTAATGTTTTTGTTTTTTTTTTTTTCTATATGGAATAAATGTACTATCTGAAGTAAATATATGTGGTTTATGCTTGATCGAACTTGTTTTTTTGTCCTTTATGAAGATAAACAAGTCAATGTGGGTGTTCTTTTGTGATGAATAATCGTTTCGTGTTAGCAAGCCAACCGATTGAAAACACCTACACTTATTTTTTTAATAGCGAAAAATTTTAATTATCGATTACTTATAAAGGGTGTTCGATAAAATGTAAATAAAATCTGTACTGAACTGAACGGATATTTAGTTGAAACTTTATAAAGCAATCGTATGATAAAAATTATGATGAAATCAAAATTTTAATACATTTAACTCTAATAATGAGAATAGATCAATTGAGATATGTAGGAAATTATTGTATTATCGTGTTTCAATGACATACTGAAAAGAAGCAGTCTACGGTTTTTTATTTAATTTTAACTTATTTATTCTGAATTAATGTCAAATTACCCATAGCACTGAATATTAGAAGTTCATTGTTTTTTTTTTTCGTTTTATTTGATTGAATCATGAATATTACTAGTAATTGTGAGTCACTTTTGTATTGAAACGCCTATGTGATTAAATATTACTAATAGCAGCTAATGAAGATTCTGTGGCAATCGATGAAAAATTTACCGAAGTTTTGCCTCTTAATAAAATGTGTTAGTTTTTTTAATAAATCATTATGATGTTCTTTAGTATCAATATGGGAGAAATCATTTTATATTTCGAAGTGATACTTAGGGATACCCAAAAGTAGTGGCGGAGGTACTTTATTTTCTTATGGAAGGCATGAAGATTATTTTCTTTTTTTATGGAGCGATAGAGAAAATGAAGCTCTATTTTTCGGTGCTGTTTCATCCTTATTCAATAAGTACCATAATAATAAAATTTTGACAAGAACTAGTTTTTGTGTAAAAGATAACTATAATATTCGATCATATTTTCATCCATGTACATTTTTTGTTTTTGATTGTTTCTTTGTTCTTCTCATCTCTTTCACAGGCGATAGTAGTAGAATAAAAAAAAAACAATATCAAATAAGTTCAGCAACTTTTTATTTCATCAATACACGATTAAATTTCACATACTCAAGAAATAAACTGGATGGATGTCTTAATATATATTTATATATATGTCGTAGTAGAAATTAAAATTTCAATTTCTACTAGGAGAAATTGAAATAGCAGGCGATTTTAAGTTGTGCTAGTAGAAATTAAAATTATAAATTCTACTAAAAACTTATACTACAGAAGTATGTGAAGGTTTCCTATAATAGAAAATAAAATTAACCCTTGTGATCACTGGATTATTTGATTTAATGCCATAAACAACTTGTAATTCGCCAATAGTAACTAATTTAAAGTGTTTATGGACCCAGAATTTAAACAGCTTCATCCCAACCACCTTCTATTACCAATATGATGCCATTATAAACAGCTTGTGTGATAACAAACTTTGAACAAAATCTTTCGCCTAAAGATTCTATATGCTTATCAAGTTTCGAATAAAATAGTTCCATTTTATGTAATATTCAAAATCTTTTTTTTTCTTTTCGTTCTACATATTGCATCATGCGAATAAGGGTTAATTTTATTTTCTATTCTAGAAGAAATTCACATACTTCTATAGTATAAGTTTTCAGTAGAATTTAAAATTCTCCTATAGTAGAAATTTTAACTTTAATTTCTACTAGTGCAACTTAAAATCGCCTGTTATTTCAATTTCTACTACAACATATACGTCGATTTAAAATATTTGAATAAAATATAAAAATAACAATTTTCTTCTATCAAATACATTTATTCTATACAAATTCAAATTTATTTAAGTAACAAATGAAAATAGTTACCATACATCAATATCGAGAAAATAATTTTTGAAATGTTTTGGAAATCGAAAAGGTGTATCTGAACATATATATCTCACTTTTGAACAATTAATTCGTGTTGCATTTCGTTTAAAATTGTATGTTACTCTCTTTAAAGGTTGATAATCGATATGAAGATTAACACCATATGGTAAACATGCTTTCGTATCAAGTAGAAATTGTTCGACATAATCATAATGAACTTCATCCAAAATAAGGCATTTTAAATGAGAATATTCAATAATTAATAAATCTTGATTGGTATTTTTTAATTTTTTACATTGTTTATCCTTTTGTGCTTTTCTATTAATTATACTTAAACGTTCCATAAATGGAAATGATTTCTGAATTCGAATAAAAAATTCGTGTTCAAAAGGATGTTCATCATATAATGATACTTCACAAACACATGTAAATAATCCACCTGGAAAATTATTTGTAATATTTTCATAACTTCTCATTGTGTATGGATATGAATAGATATGACATTCACCTTCATTATATTCTAGAAAATAGTTCACACAAGAAATAATTTCATTATTTAAAAAATCTTTGAATGTATGTCGAATATCTTCATTAGATGGTAAATCAGTTTGATCGTTTAACAGCATAGTTGAACGAATATTAAACCGAAATTGATTTAATCGTGGTAAATAATCAATAATATTTTGTTTCAAGTCATTTCCATTAATAAATCTATTACGATGAGCGTGTGATAAATACAAACTAAGTTGTTCTAAATTTGACATTCGATGTAAAAGTGGTATGATTACTGAATCATAGGAATATATAGTCGAAAGATAAGATAATGAAAAACATAGTAAATTTGGTAGTTTTTCCTAAAAGATAAATTATATATTGGTGGCGTTTAATAAAAACATACCCTATTTATTATTAAGATCGAACGAGGATCAGGTGCTATTCCTATATCAACACAGAATGTCCGAAGTTGATTGAAACGACCATCAAGTAAACAAAGACAATCTTGAACATACATGACTTTGATATATAATTCTAATAAAGTTGAAGAGAACACAGTTGGAGGTGAACAGCAGAATGATATTCGTTGATAACAAAAACATGGATCGAAATTTAAATATTGTAAATTAGTGAACATATTAAAAATATGTGTGAACATAAGTGTATTCAAATGTGTTGATGTTTCTCGTTGTATGTTAATAGTTTCAATCGTAAGTGATAAGATGCCTTTTTTGAATTGATGCATTAAAGAAGTTTTGCCTAAATATAACTAAAAAAATTATTTTACGATATAATCAACTATGTAGATATTTAACTGTATAAAGTTATTTAAAATTATTCACACTGTTATTCATTTTAATATATCAATTATTAAAAGAATCGAAATAAAAATATTTTACCAGTGAATAGATTTAAAGCAGTCTGTTTTTTAATGTTATAGATACCAAGTTCAACTAAATTTGGATAATTTGTAGAAAGAATACGTTTCATAGAGAATGGTTCAAGATCAAGCCATTTGATGTTATGAGCTATTTTAGGTAAGATTTGTATACACAATCGATCAAGCATTATATGAGGTAATGGGTAAATACAATTACACGGTAAATAATTGAATAATGTTAAACCACTAGTAAAAATGGGATCATGTACAATTTTATTGAGTCGTTTATTAACACCCATGAAAGAGTACAGTACATCAAGTTTATTTAAGTTTTTCAAAATAATAAGAATAATTTCATCAGGTAAATCGTTCAATTGAACAGATGAATATTCCATCTTGATCTAGATGTATATCTATTTTTCTTACGTTATAAATATCAATAATTGTACGTGTATATTTATAATCACTCGTTCTATTTGACCGATATCGTCAATAAAAACAATGTGGTGTATTTTTTCTAGTCTAATGATGTAAATAGACAATGAATGAATGACATTATTTCTTCTCTCATATTATTTGTCACACTTAGAGGTCTAAGCCATCCAACTGCGCCGCCGCCGCCGCCGCCGCTCCGGAATCATAGATAGTTTTACGAATTTTTTAGCCACCGCCGCTGTGAAAAAGTTAGTTCAGCCGTTGCGCCGCCGCCACGAGCGAAAATTTTCGATAATAGTATGACGCGCCGCCGCCATTGACATCGATACATATGCGGTCGGTCCTTGTCTCGCATTTTAGGAGCGAAAACATCTTTTTTGGTTGTCAAAGCCGCCGTCGATGCAGAAAAACATAAAGTATAGTAGTCGCCGCCGCCACCATGGAAAAAGAATTTTGAAATTAAAGCCACCGCCGCCTGTGTAGAAAAACATGGAGTCTAGTAGGCGCTGCCGGCATGGAAAAAAATTAGACCATTAAAACGGCCACCGCCGTTTGACCCCTCGGCTTACACCTCTAGTCACACTTGATGAACATTTTTTTTAAACAGTCATATCATATACATCTTCATCTACCATAAATGTTTGTTGATTATCATATGAATATGTTGATCTCCATAAGATGAAAAGATGTCCTTCACAATAATGGCATGATTTAGATAGAGTGTGAAGATAAATAGTTTCCTTTTCTGTAACATATTGAACAAACCATTGATGTTCTTCAATCCAGAATGAACTTCGAAATGAATCAATTAGAATTGATTGACTTGAACTTGTGTAATTTCATCCGAATAAAATGTTTTGTTCATATCGAATTCAAATAATTTAAGTTTAGGCAAATAATTACCAATGATTTTTTCCATTGATGACGATTAATTAATTCAGAACATAAAGTGACATTCAAACGACGTAGATTAGGTATATTTTGCAAAAAAAGAAATCATCTTTGAAACATTAGATGTACAAAAAACAGCAAAGGTTAAATTGCTTAGTGTTGAAAGTGGAGATGGTATATAATCAATATTGCCAGAAAAATGAATACATCTCGAAAGCTGTTTAAGACGAGAAGTAGTAAATTCAAACAATTGACTGATCTGATTCCATATAAGTAAATATTCATCGATATTTATATATTCGAGAATGAAAAGAACTATTTGCTCTTTTTCAATGGAAGCGTTTAATTAAAAATAACAAAGTTTTGAGAAATTCCAAATATTATAAATAATTAATGGAAAATCAATTTGAAATGTATGCAAACAATAGTAAGACAAAGTTAAATGAGTGAGATTTTAAAAATATTGAAATTCATTGATAACTTTTATTAGTGTTTCATATGAACTAATGTTGGATAATGAAAGTGATCGTAATTGAATGAGTTGATTGAATAATTGTATATAAGAAAAAAAAAAACAGATTAATTTCTTCTGGAGTATTTTCATATTCAGAAAGTTTAAGAATATGAACTCGATCAGCAATGAATAATAAATCTGGTTGATATATCATATCGAAATTACGTTTTATTATAGAAGAAAAATCGAAGCAATAGAATCGATATTGTTTATAGAGAAGCAAATTAAAGCGAAGATTAAATCCATAAAATTTATGAAAAAAAGGGTCAATGCCATCGAAATAATCAAACAGATTAAGTAGGATTTCATTAGTTAAAAATTCTAAATTCATTTGGTTTTTTTTTCTTCACTTACAGCTTGTTTTATGATAAATGAAGAATAGCAGTGAAGTTCAATTGTCTTTCTGTCTTTTTTCAATATAACATCTATCTTCATTAGTCATCGATTATATAAATAATGTTGAAAATGAAAACTTTACTTACCGTCAAATATTTCGTTTACTAGTATTAAAATATTGTAAATTATCATTGAATGAACTTCGTAATCTTGATTCACTACTTATTTCAACTAGTGAATTCAGTCCTACAGAGTATCTTATTATTAAAAATGTTCTACGAGTCAAGGAATTGAATGGTTTTTTATCATATTTTCCTCAACTTCATCATTAATCAGTTCATCTTTCACAACAATATTTTAATAAATATGAAGAACAATGTTCAATTCACTTGAATCATTTGACACATATTTTTTTAAGTAAAGTCAACATTACTTTCAATGATTTTGAATTGACAATAAAAAATTTATTTAATCAAGTTGAAGTTTTATGCATTACGTCAGAAAATAATTCAACATATTTCGATGAAAAAAATTTATTTTCTTTCATATGCATTATCAACGAATTTTTGTTATCATGTTTTCCTATACTTTAGAGTTGAATGAAGATATTTTCGAATTATAATTATCTAATCAATTGATTTCAATCTCGATTTTGGTTTGAACAGGGCTAGTTTTTTGAATATCAAGCTTGTTGTGATTTACTTGATTGTTTCATCTTTTATTTAATAAATCCATACAGATACAAATAAGACTTGTTTGTTTAAATGCTTTTTTTTGTGAAATTTTTAGAAAAAAATATTTCTCAATTTATAATGAAAATATCATGAGAAACTATTCATTTCGTCCAAAATATAATACGAATTCAGTTCAATTTGTTAAAATTCAATAGCAAAAAAAGAATAATTAATCACAGATAGTATTTTTCAAATGTAGCCAAAACTTACTGTCTCGTATTTTCTTGAAAAACAAAACCAAAACTTTCATTTGATGAGTTTTAGCAAGATTAGTCATTGATATGTACTCTGATTGTTTTGTAGAAATACTTGAACTATTACTTTTACCGTTTAATATTCATACCTTGAAAATTGATTGTGTATCACTTCCATGTTCAGATTTAATATCAATTGAAAATAGTCAAAAATTTTAATTATTATCCAAAAGAAATAATATTAAAGAAATGATTATTATTATTTTAGACTGTACATTGGAAATAACAAAATTTTTTCTTAATTTATGTTCTCGATTACAATATCTTACAATTAAAATTTCGAATGATAATCTTAAAACAGTTCTATCATTTTTATTCTCGCAAGATAATTATAATTAGAAATATGTCTGATGAAAAATTTGACATACTAAAGGACTTTATTATATTATAGAAACTGTTCAATGTCTATTTATGATGGTAAAATTTATTGTTAATGAAATATTTCCTTCTAAAATGTTTGTCGCTTCTTAATAAATAAGAAAACTAATATTATTAGATTTTGTATATGTTCACTAAATGACTTAATTGTGTCCTTTTAACCTTCGAAATTTATAACTTTTGTATCTCATCGTCAATAAGTCTCTCTTATATAGATAAGTTACTGCATGTGATTATCTTAAAAATCATTAGTATATGAAATTTTTGATTTGAATTTCTAAGGCGATAAAAACAATAATATTAGTCAACATCACTTTTCTTTTTCTGCGCTAAATTTTGAACGTGTTTTTATTAACAAATATTCTTATCTTATTAATTAAATCAAAGAAAAAAACAAATTATTGGAAAAGTTCAATAATCCTTTTCAATTAACTCATCATAGAGGTGATGGGAAAGGTAGAGAAAAAGTCTGTCTCATTATTCTCCACCCATGGACTCTCTACGAAGTCCAAAGCTTTGATTCAAACTGGAAAACAAATTAATGAAATCAACAATGAAAATAAAAAAGTAGAACATTCAGACATCAATACAAATACCAACATATTAATAAAAAAATCAGATGAAAGTGAAAATGATGAAGATTGGGAAACAGTAGGTTATAAAAAGGCGAGCAAAATTCAAAAACGAAAAGCTACAACAACATCAACAACAGATACTCAACAACAACAAATCACTTATTCAGACGTGACTACTGAAGGCGTTCATTCATACTTTTCATTTGGAAAAGCTGAAACAAAACTTAAACCATTATCTACTAAAAAGAACTTTCAAGGACTACGAAGAACACAAGCACAATATCAGACAAATTCTTCGCTGAACAACAATATTAATGCAAGAAATAACCAATTACATCTACCACCATTCAAAATAGAATTTGAAAATCAGCAAAAACCACCAGAAATACAAGTGTTAAATGATCTTGTTAAACAAAATCATAAATTAAATATCAGTACAGCTTTTTATTCCAAATATATTCAATCACATAATGTACTGTTACTATTTGCAAATGATTCATCAACTTATGAAATGCTTTTCGAGAATAGTTCATGGCCAAATTTAATTTGTAATTTATCATTCAAAGTTACTTTGCCTCGTCGAATTCCTGTTTCATATTCTGTTATTGTAAATCGCATTCCTCGTGAATGGAATGTAGATACAATTCATCCTCTTATTGCTGAACGTTATACATCAACAGATCGTGTTACAAGAATATTTCGTGATGATCAACCTACTACTAAAGTTCGAATCGATTTTCACTCTCAAGATGATGTTAATTTGATTCTTAAAAACGGCTATATTTACATAGATAGCATCCGGTATACAGCAACAACTTATAAACCGCTTACTCAAATTGATCGATGTTTTAAATGTCAGCAATTCGGACATAAAATTCATAATTGTATGAATGAACCAAAATATTATAAATGTGGAGAAATTCATACTTACAATCCAAATTGTTTAAATCCTATTAAATGTGCTAATTGTGCAGGTTCTCACATAGCAGGAGCACCTCAATGTCCGGCTAAAATATCTTATCGCAAAAATCAACAGCAACAACAGACTACAAGCATGATTTCTAAATCTACAGCTACTCCTTATCTACCTTCTTCAGCTCGCCTATATTCAACTGTTTTGCAAACAATGTCATCTCATGTTAATTCCAATACACAATCTACAGCATTACCTGAACCATCAAAATTCGAACAAACTGATCAATCATCTGTCATTATTAAAACACTAAAAGACGAAATTACTAAATCACACGATATTCTTATAGACAAAATTTTGCACATTGAACAAAAATCTGACTTAGCTATGCAACAACATCTTTCGTCACTTCAAATGATTGAAACTCAAATTGTACCTTATTTGTTCTCTATGTCGGAATTGCTGGTTAATGTATATGATAAATTAAGTGAAAAGAAAATAATTCAAGCAACTGACCAACAAAAAACAAAACTTTCTTTTCTACGTGCTCTTTCAACTACTCGTAAAAAATCATCAATATCACATTTTACTTCGAATACATCTATTTCTTCTCCACTTCTTATTCGCACTCAGGCTCAATCAAATTTATGTTCATTGACTACACCTACATGCAATCAACCACAGTCAACCTCTTTATCACAACTATCACTCGAATCGAATCTCAATAAAAACTTATTTTTACAAAATGATTATTTTCAATGATGAATCCACATGCAACAGAATTTGAACCTTTGACGAATCTCCAAATCAGAAAATCTTTAAATTATGATGAATCTTTTTTTTCTTTTTATTTAAGCTCGGATTACCAAGCCCGGAAAGCTCAGTCAATACTCTATGAATGGCAAACATCACTTTCATTATCAGCACTTATCCAAGATTGGTCCACTCGTCATACATCCAAATCATCTCACCAATCTTCCTTCTCATTGTTGCTTTATAACATTAGTAGTTTATCTATTCACTTAGAAGATCTCATTCAATATATTTGTTCATACTATCCAACTGTATGGGCCTTAACTGGTCTTCATTTTAACAACCACGTTAATTATCGATTAGCTAGCTTCTTCAAATCTCACTATACTATATATTTTCAACATGGATCAAATAACTTCGGTGGCGTTTGTTTAGCCATTGCTCATCAGATACCTCACCAATGCATCTCTCAAGTCAGCCACATCGAGAACTTGATTGCTATTGACATCTTCAACAAGAGCCAACGATACACTCTTGTCGTTCTTTATATACCACCTTCTGAAAATTTACCTACTTTCACTCTTAATCATTTGTACGAACGTAATTCTAATTTAATTCTAGTCGGTGATTTCAACGCTCGACATCCTCAATGGTATGATGTGACAACGAACATGAACGGCTCTCGACTGAGTGAATGGATTAATTCACTGCCAAATCTAAAAATATATAATGCTTCACAACCCACATCAACCCGATCTGAAGCCATTATTGATCTGATCATAGCCCCACATCAAATATCATCAGAAATTTCTGAAGTCGACCAAACTATGCAAGTGACAGATCATTATCCTGTTCACTGGCAAATCACATCATTTTTCTTCAATAATATGAATTCATATGAATTAAAACATATCGACTGGAAACTGATAAGTTGCATTTTAGATTTAAAACAAACATTTTTCTTTAATTTAGCTCAACATATGAAAACTACACCAACTGAGTTCATTCTTCTTTATGAAAAATTTCTTGTTGCCTTACAAGAACGCTGTACTGATTATCATCTGATTAAAAAATATCGAGCAAGTCTACCACCATATCTCGTTAATATCATTAAATACCGACGTAAAATGCTAAATCTTTATCGATTAACTAACGCGAATGACCATCGTCTTTCGCTTGCTTCTCTAAATCGATACATTCAATATGAATTAAGAGCAGTTAAGAAAGCTCAATGGCAAGAATTTTGTTTCAATCTCGAACCACAAAATACTCAACGATTTTGGCGACACACTCGCACTCTTTTTAACAAACAAATTCCTAGAATTCAAGGATTTGTCAATGATGAACATGATTCCATATTGACTGAAACTAATGCTATGATTCAACATGCTTTCAACTACTATTCGACATTATTCACAGAAATTGAAACACCTCACCAAAATCACAGTGTTAATGAATTTAAAGCATCATTATCACAAAAACTCCTCGAACTTCCATCTAAGCCGTTTTTATTTTGTATTGGCGACTTAATTCGATCAATTCGTCGTCTTAAAACAAAGACATCAAGTGGACATGAGAAAGTCTCCAACAAATTGTTAAAGTCAATCCCGATATCTCATTATGGTTTTATTCTTCAAATTTTTAATCAGCTGCTTATCCATAATGAATATCCTCAACATTGGAAATTATCAAAGATGATTCTATTACCCAAAGATAAATCAACTATTCTAAACATCAACAGAACGCGGCCTATCTCACTCTTACCATGTTTAAGTAAGGTATACGAAAGATGTTTTCTTGTTTATCTTCTTCAGTGGATAAACAATACCGGTATTCTTCCATCGGAACAATCCGGATTTCGACAACATCATTCTACCACCACCAGATTTATACAATTTCTACAGGATATTACTACAGGTCTAGTACAACACACAGCAACTCTTGTAATTTATGTAGATTTCACGAAAGCCTTTGATCAAATTTGGCATGATGGATTAATCTATAAATTGTACAACATGAATTGTTCACGAGAGATAATCGATTTTATCATAGAATATTTGAAGAATCGTAAATGTTATATTGAACTAAACAATCTTACTTCCAACATCTTCAACATTGAGAAAGGAGTTCCACAAGGTTCCTGTCTCGGTCCAATTCTCTTTCTTTTATTTCACTGCACACTAGTTCAAGAAGTCCCATCAGCCAGTCATCAACATCTGTATGCCGACGATCTAGCTCTTATAATAACAGCCTCTCCATGGTGGACTAGAGGTGAGTTTGTGAAACATATGCAATATTTAGGTCAAAGAACTTTGAACGAGCTCCAAACCTATGCCAATACGTGGAAACAACCAATTAATTGTGAAAAAACAGAATGGCAATGGATACATAGACGCGTGGTATTACCTTCTCTTACTCTCACCATTAATCAACAACCTATCAGACGTACTTCTCTCTTTAAATATCTGGGCTACTTTGTTGATGAACGATTATCATTCAACACACATTGCACTAATATGCTTGAGAAAATTCAAATTAATTCAACTGTACTAAAATACATCACTCGATCACATGTATCCTCATTACGAACACGTCAACTAACCTTTAATGCATTTATTTTACCATATTTTCAACTGATATATGCAACCTGGCCCTTACTTTCCAATGGAACTATTGCCAAAATTGAATCCAAAAATCGTCAAATCTATAGATTGATTCACAATTGGTGGGATGCTCGTAACGATGAAGTACAATGGTTGCCTGCTTTTCAAACTGCTACATCACGTGCTCAACGTTTCTTACGCCGCTTCATTGATAAAGCACAAACAATATCACCTGAACTTTTCGAATTTTATATTCTCTCAAAGGCGATGCCGATGTATCTACAAATGCACTTCGAAGAAACTCAATTTATTGACGCTCTACCTCGTGGTAGACCTAATAGTTACATTCGTAATTGGATTAACTGGAACCATCATGCACATCTTCATAAGTGTTACTTGGATCACTTATCTGCCTTTTTATCAGCATCCACTATTGCACAAAACTAACTATTCTATACTTAGCTTGTTACATCTGTTTTGAAACCGAGACTAAGGGTCTAGTTTCCTCTTATCCTCTGGATAATTGATCTTCGACATAGCGCTAATAAAAAAAAAAAAAAAAAAAAAAAAAAAAAAATATTAGTCAACATAATGACAATACATGATTTCATTTAATGTTATTTTTTTTTGTCTCTCACAATGGAGATGTTTGTATTACAAGTTTACATTCAGTGATTTTTGTTTGATGAGTAGAGTCAGAAGTTTCAGATAAATAATTGCTTTTATTGACCTGATTCAGTCCTAGGCATGTATACATTAAATATTCAGTATTTTAGATGAAAATTTATTTTCTTCTCTAATCTTTCGTAAAAAAAACAGAAAAACAACATATGAATGATGTTCTTAATTCTGAATGTCATTTTCTTTTCGTCTATCGCCAAATGACAAGTAAATCGATGGGTAGAATTCCGAATGTCGACAGGTAAAATCATGTGACTTAAGACGATGCGTATGTTTGATTAACCAATCATTTGGGAGACCTATATAAATAGTCATACAATTATCATCAAGATCTTCATCATCAAAGAATATATCAAGATTGTCCAGACCATTGAATCGATCAATAACATCAATAATCATTTGTTTTGATGCTATGCATATTTCCAGCCTTTCAAGGGCTGATATTGTATAATAAAGCCTATCAAGAGAAATCGATTGAGCAATACCTTCCAGTAGCAGCTAACAAATTTGTGAAGGTATAATGAATAATGGATCGAATTTCATTGAGAAACGAGTGACGCAAGGAGTATGAGCAATAAAATGATCAAGTTCATCAGGTAACAATTGATCAATATCAGCAACTTCGAGATATTGAATATTCTCTAGATCAACAATCGATGAGAGAATATTCAATGATAATAATGATGAACCGGAAAGTACCAATGATTTCATTTGATTGAAACGATAACTGACTGATATCATCACTTGGTTCATATCACAGGAGAAACGAATGATTTTGCTTGAATAGAAAAATTTCTCTTGAATATTCAATGGTGCTGTTGTCATGTGTGGAAAGTCAATTGATGGATAATCAAGAATACGTATCGGAAATCGAGAAATTGAATAAACAATTGTGTTTGTCTTCGATTTATCTTGATAACATCCTACATACCAATGTCGTTGTTCAAGCCAAAATGATGAACGAAATAATTCGAGTATGGATGAAATTTTTCCATTAGGATTGCACTCGAATTTGAAATTAAATCGAATAATTCGTTTTTTCAAAAGTATTTCTTCCCCTCATTTTCCATCGATTAAATCTCATGAACCACTTGCTTGACAAGTGAAATTTATCAATTGAGACAATTTAATCAGACATTGTTCAAGACATGCAAATGATACTTGCAATACCTACAGTATTAGATAGACAATGAAAATCAACTTTTCATTAGTTTTCGTTACCTTGGTAAAAGTGTAATGTAAGATGAGTGAGACAATCAGAGAATCATTTAAGATTAAATGTCGAATATCGACTTTTATTATCGATAACAAGATAAAAATGAGTCAGAAAACATTGTCATTGTTCAATTAACGAATGAACATCGGTATTGTCCAATGGAGAAGACATATCGATATATTCACTGTCATAATAACATCTTCCATCAATCGGACATGTCCATGCCGGCGCTGCCCACCACGGGAGCGGCAGATTTCTTCAAAAACCATCATGGCGCTGGAGAGTTTTTTATAATGCCGCCGCGGCAGCGGCAGCTTTGTTAGGAAAAAATTTCAAAAATTCATGGATTTGCACAGAATCTCCATATTCATGTATACTATGCTATAAGACTTAACGAATCGGATCAATTATCAGCAGCAGTTCTAGTTGAAACCAATCACAACCTGAAAAACCAAAATATTTTTTTTGAATACCATCGCGGCAGCGGCAGATTCTCAGTTGCGATGGACATCTCTGCTACTAATAATCAAATAGGTACGAGTTGGAAAGTGAGTGTTAATAAGATGCTGTAGATCTTTGCTATCGATTTTTAAATGAGTTAGTACTTTCTCTTGTCGAGACAACATTTGACTAATATAATTTGTATAATAATCATCAGCATCATAATTTCTGATTGATAGTGATGAAACGAATACGGGTATATCGATGGAGGAAAAGTTTCACTCGATCAGGAATATATTCATCGTAAAGAATCAATGAAATAACTTATTTCGATTGAAGATGACGACAAACAAAATCAAAGTTTGATCGACAGATTGCTCGAGAATCAACAGAATATATTTATTCGTTCCATTTGTATTGAAATAAAAATAAACAGTAAAACGAACGATTTTGGATTTTGAACAAAATGCAGCGTCAACAGATAATAGTGATTGTGTTTTTCCTTACAGAAGAATTATGGTTTAAAAACTCAATAGCGAATGACACATTCTTCTGATTAGATGCATTCTAAACTGATTGAGTATCAGAGATGTTCATCGCGGCGCTGCCTCTGCCGCGGCATCTTTTTTCACAAGATCACCGCGATAGCGGCGCGGCTCTGGTTAGTAATACTTTGGGCTATTGCAACAGACTGATTTTCAAGTGTGTCATGGAAACCGTTTTAGACGAATTGTGTTTTACTATCTTCATGGTAGCGGCAGATTTTTTTCTCTGCGGGCGCGCACACACCCCCACATCCACCTTCTTAGGTTTTTCGTATCTGTATATGATGAATTGTATACTATTAATTTGCAATATATGTTGACAATAATATTTGACGACACTCTGTGTGTATTCATCTCATTTTAGTATCTTTTCTCTGTAGTATAACTAAAATCATATCATCTTAAAATAAGTATAATCGTAAATGTTGCTATACACAAGCGCAGTACATGTCAATTTTATACGCGATATGGAACGCTCTCTTTCATATTTTAAGAGGCTATTGTGTATTTTTGATGCAATCTCAACTAAGCGGTGCGAACATTTCTGAATACTGTTACGCTAAATAGATAATCTTTATTATCAAATCATGTTAAATTTTAGTCATTAATAAAAAACTCACTGGTACTACTATGTATTTAGAGCTCTGTTAGTATAAATTGATCTGAATTTATTGATAGATTAACGAACAAACAGACTCAATTGCTGCGCTTGCAGCAGAGATAAGGTAATCCTAAGTATCAAAACTGAATCAAAAACAATAAGCTAGCCATCGATATGTACATATAGGTACGGACATAAACGAACAAAAAAAAGGAAAACGAGGTACTTATAGGAAATACTATGGTGATCTATATTAAATCCAAACCGTTTCTTATCATTTCTGAAGACTTTCGATTCTTTTCATTCTTTTGGTACTCTATCTTACAGCGCTTCACCGGATTTGAGTAATTTGAGACCAAACCCAAATCCAAGTCTAAATTAAATCCACACCTTTCTACATCAAATCCCAAAGATTTGGATTTGTTACACCCATAATTGTGATAAATTCAAGAGAATACTAGAAACATAAGGAGTTCTGAATTCCAGAATTCCGTTATTCAACCATTGGGAATGACTGAATATAGAAAAATTATTTATCAGGATATTAAAATATAACATCATCATCATTCAAGTGCTACAAGAGTAAAATCGATCCAAATTTCAGACAAGCTTGAGAGGATATGGGTGTGAAGAGATGATCGATAACCACAACCAAACCCACACCAGAGGATTTATAGGAAATATAAGTCAAATTGCATCCCGACGAATATCATGTAAATGTGAATAAGGTGTTGATGAAATTTATGTTAATCGAGTAAAGCGACACATTTTATTACAATTCTTATGAGCATGTAATACGAAAAACTTAGAATCGGAAAAAAATGAAATATACACTTTTATTCGAGGAAAGTGGCTAAGTTTTCGACATCTTACCTTGAAATTGCCGTGAAGAGATTCTTTAACAAATTATATACATATCTAGTGAACGAATTTTTTTCTTACATTCTTTATATTAATAATCACCATTGCCACCTTTACGTTCTGTTTGCATGTATTTGTTCATATGTCTCTGTTCATAATCATTTAAAAAGGATATAACAAAAGAAAAAAGGCTTCATATGGACTTTTTGCCACTAAAAGTATCACTATGATGATGTAAATATTACTTTTTACGATTCTTGCGCGAGTGTATTGCCTTCTGTCGTTATTTTGCGTCAGTATCTAAGATTTATTTTTTTATTTTTTTCATATCATAACATTCTTTACTTCAAACAATCCATTGCTCTGATGTTAAACGATTTTGTACGTTATTTTACTTTTATAAAAGAGAAACGTGATAAATATCGTAATGTCGTCTAATCCATTGGAAAAACATGAAAGATTTCTTACAAAGGAGCCACAAGTCAATCACAAATATGTAATTATTGATTTTGATGGTTAGAACATTGGAAACGTTTTGTTGGTATCGAAAACGCAAATGAAGACGAAGTCACTGAACCAGATCCAACAACATTGAATAGTTGAAATGAAATACAACTTTGTTCATATGCTATTGAAAGAAATGATTTCGCCTTTATTGTATATGAACTCTATAAAGACTTAGCACGGATATATGATAAAATTGGTCCTGAAATAATTCGTAAAGCTATTTCACAAGATAAATATCAAATTATAATTGAAACATTTCTTGTACTATCACGATTTTGTGAATCAAGATGTTTCAATGCGAAAACAAAACAAATGTATCGTAGGCATCGAACTAAAATAGAAGAAATAAAAAGCAATATTTGTAATGAACATCTTATTACACCAAGTTCAAGCTACCATTCATATTCATCATTGAATCAAAGCGATTTAAATTGGAAACTCATTGATGAACCATCAGATTTAACTCTTGAAGATATTGTTTTAACAAAAAATACATTGATTACATGTAAACCCAGAGCATCATTAACACATAATGCTTCGTCATTTTCTACATGGAAAATACATTACACTCCTGGACTTTGTGATTTATCGAATTCGGATGAAACTAATTTCATGAATTCAGTTTTATAATGTACATCAAATGTTTCAGCATTAACAGAATATTTTCTTCGTGATGAATGAAGAGAACATATAAATTGTGATAATCCATTAGGTAAAAAAGGTAAAATTGCTCTAGTATATGGTGAAGTAATACATAAAATGTGGTCAAGTAAAACAAACTTTTATCAACGAAAATCTTGGAAAAAAATGTGTCGCAAGCTGTGCAACACAATTTAGTGATTCGAAACAACAAGATTCACAAGATTTGATGTCAGTTCTACTTGATGGTTTACATGAAGATCTAAATCTTTTCAAATAGAAACCAAATATAGCGAAGAAAGATGATGAAAAAGTTGATAATTCAACATTAGCTCCTGTGCAAGAGGATGATTATCGAAAAGAAAGTCGATCAAAAATTCATGATATATTTGCTGAGCAAATCAAATCTTTTACATAATGTCTCGAATACCAAGCATCAAAGCGTGTCTTTGGATCAATATGTAGATGAAAAAAAAACAGATGCTGGATCTGAATTCAATGAAACAAATCAAGACGAAGGAGAAGAAGAAGAAGAAAAAGATTTCACAAAGGCATTAGATTGTGATGGACATCAACCCAAATCAGATCATATTTTAACTGTTGAAATTAACAATCATCAAATTCATTTAGTATATGAATGACAATGATAAAATATTAATGCCATGTGTATTTCGAGAAGATGATCAAAATCACCAAAACTTTAGTTTACCATTTTATCTTAATATACTAAGACATAACTAAGTAGGAAGAGATATACAAGAAGAATTACAGGTAAAAATAAGTGTAATTCTCAACCACTGAGATACTTTAACATCTATTGATTATGATTCATTTTATAGAAAAGAATTGATGATTTTCTTCCATTACCTTCAATTGATTCATCAGATAACTCATATTATACTGCATCATTCTTATTCATTCAAAACTCTATTCAAACAATGGAACCACTAAAATCATTATCTTAATGATTCTGTTGATTTTAATGATAGAAATACAAGACTTGTTGTCGATGCTGCACTACCTATTGTGAAAAAATAGAAAAAGCAAGAAGAAGAAAAGCATTTAGAGCAAGATCATCCTTCATCAATTGACTTCAGTATTCAAACACGTAGTCAACAAAAACGAGCAATAACATTATTAAATGGTTTTAAATATTTGACAAAAAAAGAAAGCATTATCTGGTGATAGTCTATGGAATTGTTCACAATGTAATGCATTAAACGAGACTATAAAAAAAATTGACTTATGACTTTCGTCAAAAGTTTTAATTATCAAATTGAAATGTTCTATATATACTGGTTATTTTCGTGATATAATTGATTCATTGACTGATTGCTCAAGTCATGATTTAGATTTATCACAATTTGTTCTAAATCCAGCTGAAAAAGCGGCAGCAAAATATGCCTTAATTGCTGTTTGTAATCATATCAGAAGTCTAAGTGAAGAACATTATACAACACATGAAAAAAATTCTATTGACCAAAAATGGGATACATTTGATGATTCAAAAGTATTAGATGTTGATGAAGATAATGTTATTAGTACTGCAGCTTATAGACTTGTTTATCAACAACAACAATAAATATCATCAAAATCGCGAAATTCATATAATAGAAAATATAACGTCAACTTGAATTCCTATTTTTTCCTGTATGTATCAATAGTTTTCAGCCAAAGTTTCTCGGCTCAACGCTCTACTCATCCTCCTTCTGTTGTTATAGATCTTAGCAAAAGAAATGAAATGTGCTAAATGACCCTAATGTTGTATGGTCAACACAAAAACATGAACTGATTAAGTTTCATCTTTAAAAAATAATCAATATTGGTCTTTTTGAGTTCACAGAGACTTCAGTAGATATAACAAATATGTATAACAAGCTTATTTATCAAATAAATCAGTTGTTAGACTAATAATAATAAAGTCTGAAAATAGAATTAAAAAAAGATAATCCAATTTCTGTTCGAAATGGAAAAATAAAAAAGAAAGCACTCAGGTCAAGCTCGGTACGTCGGAACCCATCGGTTCCGTTGAATTCCGACGATTTCTTGACTACAGGATTCCGGTCCAGATTTCGTCGGACCAGTTCCGATCGGTTTCCATCGGTTCCGTCGATTTCCGACGAATTCCTGGTCGAAATTTTGCGGAACCTAACGGAACTTTTCCGGCGGAAACTGGACCGAAATCCTGTAGTCAAGAAATCGTCGGAAGTCAACGGAGCCGACCGAAAATCAACGGAATCTATAGGATCCGCTGTCGGAAAACAAAGGAAACAAACGGTTCCGGTGATCGGAACAGTGGACCTGGGATTGACTGACAATCAATTATAATTAGTTGCAAAAAATATCTATCATCCTTTAGGAATTTTACACTTTGCCTATTTTGAATTATTATAATGAAACTAACGAAGATATGTGAGTTCCATGTGTCAGCCATAAAGAGGCTGCACCAATATTTTTTTTATTTTTTGTTTTGTTTTATTAGTAGATACTGTTTATATTCCTTGTGTATAACTCATTATAAATGATAAACTAACCTGAAATATATTCGAAAAACCATAAAAAAGTTTTTATGAATGATAAACATTAATCTATTTAATATAAAGTAAGAAAAAAAAGAGCAACAATGAAACATGATTCAATTAATTCTTTTTATAAATTAGTTTCAAAATTAAAAAAAGAATGTTGTAAAATTTGCTGAGCAGTAGGACGTCGTTCTAGATTTATTTGTAAACATTGTTGAAGAATATCACGTAGATGAGAATTATTTGTTGGTGGTATGACTGGAGTTTCTGCTAATTGAGCAATATGAGACATTTTATCAAAATTATCTTGAACATGTTCAAACGGTCGATAGCCAAAGACCATTTCAAAAAGAAGAACACCTACGAAAGAAATAAAAAAGAATTTTTCTGTTTCTAAATAAAATAAAAACTAACCTAATGCCCAAATATCTGATGCTCGACCTTGACGAGAATAATGACCGTTTTGAATCTGACATACTTCGGGTGGCATATATTCAGGTGTACCTTGAATATTTTATTATGGTTTTAAAAATATAAAAGAGAAAATTTAAATATTTCCACCTGCAAATGGTCTTAAGACAGATGTTTCTGTTTTTGGCATACGAAAAGAAAGACCTAAATCAATAATACGAAGTTGTCCACCAGGTGTCAAAATGAAATTTTCTGGTTTAATATCTACAAAACATTTTATAACGATGATAAATTTTTACTTATGTTTTTCTACCTGAATGAACAATTCCATTTCGATGAAGTATGGCAACAGCGTCAACCATTTGAGACCAATAAAATTTTGCTTGTGCTATTGTCATTTTCTTTTCTTTTGGTAATGCTTGTAATGGTAACATAAAACGAAAATCATGTCCAGTTTCCATAACAATTTTACCCGTCTGTGCTTTACTATCATATTCATGATTATAAACTCGAATAACATATGGATTACGTGCTTGTAATTTTGTTAAATAACGTATTTCTTTAAAAAACATTTTTGAATGATCATGACTATCAATTGGATCAATATTTTGAACTACTTTTATTGCTACAGATTGATTTGTTCGAGGATCATATGCTGCATAAACTCGACTATGAAGTCCTTCACCGATTAAACGAATAACTATATACGGAAGACCATTAACATATATTATAGTTGATTGACGTTGTTGTGTATGAGTGATTGGAATTGATGAAGCTGTTCGTAAAGGATAATTCGAAGTAGGTGCAGCAGATAAAGCTGAAAGAAAATAAATCACCGAAATTTATTGTTATTTACAGTTGATTTCGATAAATGAATATTCTTACTGGCATCACATGATGGTTTATAGTTAGCTGGAAATGGACGAACAGCAAAAGCAACTCTCATAATTTTTTACTAGGACTCTCTCCGTTATATAATGATGTACAAAAGAGAAGACATGCCTATATGCAATAAAATGTGCTTGTGCCCTTCTCGCTTCTCATTTCTTTTTTTCTTACGTACTTCTAAATACAAATGTTCACGTTTTCCTTTTCGGTTCATACCTTCAATAATGTGCTAATTGGTCGAGCATGAATGATTTGTCTTGCACTTTATCACATCAAGATCAAGGCTGACTTTTTATCTTAATGAAATAGTGCTGTCGCATGTCTGTCCCTGTCTCGAGACAATCTGAATATAAATCGAGACGATATACAATATATTGATTATCTATTGAGCTGTTTGTCGTCGTTATTCATTCAAAATATTATTGTCATTCATCCTTTTATACAAATATGTCGAATATTTATTGCATGCTCGATTGATGTTAGTATCGAATGTGCAATTAAACTTTGGTTGATCCATTATCGCCTGCTTTTTTTTTCTTCCGTATGTATTGAATTTACGTAAGAATGAAAGGCAAAGTGTAATGTACGAATAAAAGCGTATAGATATGCACATATGTCATATGCAGATAACATATGCATGTATGCATCAAAATCATTGCAGTTGATTTTATTATGATAATGATGTTGAAAACGAAAGGAAAAATTCAACATAACCCGTATTGATTCTGCCTTACTGTATATAATAATTATATTCTCGAACTTTTTTTTTTTGGTATCATTTTATTTATCAGAATGAAGAAGAAGAAACGTACATAAAATATCCCATTTTAAAATAACAAAATGTTCAAATTTTGTTTGTTAATTAGGATAACCGGATACATTATTTTCTAAATAAGTTTCTTTTAAATTTCAAAAAAAAAAAAATAAAATAAAAATTGTTCGAATTCATTTTGTTTAAACCATGATACGTGTTCCAGGTATATATCGTGTATCTTTCCATATATTTGATGTACCACAATTATTTAAATTACGTTGACATTGAGCACAACGTTTATATTGATCACATTGTTCATGTACAAGAACACCTTGTGCTGCATATACATGTGCTCTTTCATCTTGATCACGCTGATGTTTTGTATCCATAGCATTTGACCAATCTGTTTCAAGATCTTTGCGTATTGTAAATCCACGACGAAATCGTTCACGACGGTCAGCTAAAAAGCTAAAATAAAAATTAAGAAATACGATGATTGAAGAAAACATAAATCAAATAAAAACGATAAAATATACTCTTGTTTCATAGCATCTAATGCACGTGATTCATATTCTTGTTCACGCATTTGTTTAAGTAATTGTTGTCGTTGTCGTTGTTCAACAACTTCTTTTTGTTGTCGAAAGATTTCCATTGCGTGTAAACGACGTTCTTGTAATTTCTCTGTTGACATATCATTGACACCAAAATAAGGTGTAGCAATTTCGGCTGAAGGAATTCCACTTGGCTTATTTCGAACCTAGTTTTTAAATAAAAAAGATGCGTTGAAAACCAAAAACAAATCATTTTACTTGATTATCTAAAGCATTTTTCATTTCTTCTTGATGAAGACGTTTATTTCTCAGATATGCTTCTCGTTCTTGTGCCAATCTGAATAAGAAAAATAATATTTAGATGAAAAATAAAAAAAGAATTTTATCGTTTATTTTTCAAACATACGCTTCAGCTAATTGTATTTGTTCTAAACGTTCAACAAAATTTTTATCTTGTTTTTCAGCATGTTCTTCATCATGTTTCCATTTTATTTGTGCATCTAATTGTTTAGCTAAATCTTGTTGACGAATATAGGTTGGAGGAGTTTGTGCACGTTTTCGAAATACAAATGAACGCTAATAAAAAAATATTTCATTTTCTTTTGAAACTCAATTTAAACATTTACCGGAACATCACTCGTTTTTGGTCGTTCCATTTTTTTGACTCGTGTCGCCTCAGCAATACCCAAATTATACTAAAATAAATTTGAATTCTTCTTCTATTAAAATAGATCTTATGAGAGAACATTTTCAACTGATTAGTCACTGTTGCATCATAAAGTATTGAATTGTGTGTTATCAACCATGCTGATCCTATGAGACATTCCCTTGAGTTTTTATATGATAGGTTTCTAGAACAACAAACTTTCTACCAAAAAAAAACTTTTCCGTTCAGATTATAGACCTAATCGAATTACTTAGAAAGCAACAACCTTCTTTACTTAAAGCTCATATTTGAAAAACAGACAAGATTATTGTGTCACAGGCAACTCGATATGTTCTATAATCTAACAAAGGATGTTCACAAACGATTCAATCGCTTTTCTAGCCGAGACTACGCGCATTATATCGATCTAAATGAGTTTGTATCCTTAGCTTATCGTTCTGCATTTTCACAATAGTTTTTAAATAAATACCGCTGTACATAAAAACTGATTTTCGAATGTGAACTTGAAACTCTGCTTAGAGACACACTTCAATGAGAACAGTTTTTTTTGTGAATGTTTCAAATCTTATCGATGTTTCTATCCTAAGATATAATTATGGTAATAGCGTTTGTCTTTTACATCACTCATATAAACCAGCAGACTCGGTGTTTTTATTTCGAAAAAGAAGGCATTCAAAACATCTAAAATATCCACAATAACTATTCTCATTAAGATCTTTTTTGAAAAGTTTCAAATCAAAAATCAGTTTTTTTTTCTAGACTACGATATTTATTTAAGAAATAACATAAAAAAATCTAGTATCGCAGTAGTAATAAACTAAGGGTAGGAACTGTTTTCAAGGTATTCATAGCTCGTTTGAATCTACATAATGTAAATAGTCTCGAATCAAAAGGTATTGAACAGATAGAGGAGCTTTCTCATGAGTAAATTCAAAATGATTTTGGCAAAATGTCTTTTAGTCTTTAAAACTCTTTTTCTATAAAACGAACATACAAAGACCTAAGGAAATTGGTTATGGTTATATTCAGAATCAGTATGGCCAATAGCTTAAAATCTAATAATACTTTGTGACAAAGTTAAAAATGCTCTTCTATCAGATACTTACAGCAGCTATTCTTTGTTTTTCTTCACGATCAGCTTTCATAGCCATCTAAAGATCAAGAAAATTTATTTTAATAATAAATTGTTTTCTTTTGAATATACTTCTCGTTTGTTTTGTTCATCAAGATCTCGATCATGTTGATATTGTTCAAGTAATTTTGCTTCTTCAGCTTCACGAATACGTTTTTCTTCATGTAAATAAATAGGTATATTACGTTTAGCACGTTGATGACATAAATAACAAAGTTCTTGACCAGCACCATGATGTCCACATGTTGTTGTTGGTTTTGATGCTGTTGGAGAATTCATTTGTTGATATTGTTGAGGATAAACATTTAATGATGATGATATACGATCACGTACACTACGATCAGTTGTTGGACGTGAAAAACCTAATGCTGCACTATTTTCATTAGTTGCTCGAATAACTACACCATTGGTTTGGTTACTAAAAAAATAAAAAGATAAAGATTTAAATCAAATAAAATTAAAGAAAAATCTAAACATTTGAGCAAGTAGTGAGTTGTTTAATATCATCCGTTATTGATATTCTATTCGATAATTGTCTACAAATAAATTTTACTTATATAAATAAAAAACAAATAACAACAATCAAAAATAACTTGTACAGCTGTGAATAAATTCGAAAACTATTATAAAAAAAATACCTGATTATACTAAGTATGTAAAGATTTACTGATAAAAATATGATTAATCAAGTGTTTGAACTAGTAATCAGTGATGTCTGTTCTTCAATGGATTATTCGAATTTAAATTATCGTAAAAACAAGAACTGTTTTTATGAATTTTATAAATCAACAATGTGATACTAGTTCTTGTTGATCATTTTTTTTTGAAAGAAATTATCTTCAATTTCGATCGATCTACTTCGAAATATTTTCTATTACTTTGACTTTAATAAAAACTTACATGGTTGCTGTTAATTCTTTATCTTGTTCATTTTGATAACAAGAAGCAATTCGTCTCATTGGAATAACAGGTGTTGCTGTTCGTTTTGCTGTTGTAGATGGTTGACCAAGATCCAATGATGAAAAAAGTGATGCTATAGGCATAACTCCATCTTGTGAACTTGTTACTCCTACTGTTGTTACTACGTTTGTTGGTGGTTGCGTAGTTGTTGTCACAGAAACGGTTGGTTCTAATATAAAATTAGATACATTTAAATACGTCAATCGTCCAAAAGTTGATTGACAACGAAGAAATTTCCTTTTTAAAATATTATTCTTCATCATTAAACACAAGTGCAATAAAAAGAAAAATATTTCTTTTTCTTGTCTTCGTTTTTTTTTTACTCTTATGTCGATCGGTAATTACATTTTCCGAACAATATTAAGTAGACAATACCCTCTTTTACACAATCTCAAATGTCAAACGAACAAAAATCAATCTATTAGTAGTGTGGAGAGGAAAGAAACGTACATACTGCTAAGTGCATAAAAGTGTGTGTTTTAAAAGTGTATAGTCTACCTCTAGGTGTTTCAACAAGAGGTGGTAATCGTAAATCAACACCTCGCGAACCTGAACGACTTAAATCGTTCTTACATGGACTAAGATCTGTATTGAAGAGAGAAGGAATTTTTGTTTTATTAATTGTTCCATATTAGCTTTTTTTACTACCTCGTTGTTGTGTTCGTTTGATAGATGTTGTTCCACGATGAGTTTGTTGTTCATCATTACCATGATCTTCTTCTGGAATAGCTTGCATCGCTGGATTACCAATTCGACTATTAAGTCTATAAGAAAAGAAAATAAATAAATTATTTGAGGAAAAGAAAAATTTTTAAGAATGTACCGTGGAAGAACAACATTCGAAGCTGTTGGTGGTCTTGCTGCTTCTCGTTCAGACATAACTGAATCACATGTTTGTGGCCTCTGAATAATTCAAAATTTTCATTTTCATTTTTTTTTTTCAAAATTAAATATAACTTCTTTACATTGCACGTATTATCAAAAAGATATTTTGCTCCATTTCCACCATTACCATCAACAGCATTAACAAAGTCTTTAAAAAATCTCATTTTAACTTTTCCATCTCGGATTTGTAATTTTCCAATACGTGAAAATGTAAATTCAACATTTCGTTGTGCAGCTACAGAACGATTAAATACTTGTAGAACATGTTTAACACATTGTTCAATTTGATCACGTGTATATGTTGATTGTGTTTGAATATAGAAATAATTTAATGGATGTACTGGTATTGAACCATTAACAGGATAATGAGTAAATTTTAATGAATGAGTTTGGGCAAATTTTTCCGAAAAAGCAAAAACAGGTCGTTGAATTAATAAATATTTATTATTTCCTACATCAATACGTTTATGTATAAAAGTAAATGTACCAAAGCCTGGTATCGTGACACCCTATTCAAAGATATACTGTATTTAATAATCAAAAAATATGATTTTACTTTTGATTGTTTCATATAAGATTCAATATAAGCTGACACTGCATCCCAAATTTTAACAACATCTAAGAAATAAAAGAATAATCGCCATAACGTATTTACATTTATTATTATCTTACTCTGTGATAATTTTAAGTCAAAAGATTGACGATCTGATTTAACAGATTTTGTATTTCTCAATGTTAAACAACGTTCTCCTGGCATCATTCTTTTCAAGAGTGATCACGACTCGTCTTGTACTTTTTTTTTCTGGTTATTTAATTCTCTCTAGTTACCTATGTTTTTTTTTGTTAAATTTCAAGTGATTTGTTCTCTTATCATCCTCTTCAGAGAAAAATGAGACTGCTACGGGTATATTTGAAGAGTTCTACCGTGTAGAAGCAACGAAAACTAATATTCGAAAAAGAAAAATAAATAAATTATTAATTATTTTTCATATAAATTTTGCTCTAATAAAACAGACGAAGTTCTTGAATAAAAAAAAAAATGAGTTGAATTTAATTGGGTTTTTTTTCTGCATTTTTTTCATTCTACTTCAATGCAGCAGAATTGTACATATGAAATGAAAGATTTATTTTTTCACCGGTACAAGAAATAAAAAGATTGATTTAATCATTCGATAATGATTCAGTTTGATTTTTAATAAAACAATTAATAGCTTCATATATGTCAATGTTTTTGTTTGTTGCTAAACTTGTTTTGAATCATGGAATAGAAAACAAGAAAAATATTATTTGCTAACAATTCTAATTATAATGTGAATCATATGCAAACAATCTATTCATTAGAATGTTTTCTTTTTCTGGAATTACAAAAATCCTTTTCAAAAAACAAAACATATGATAAAATTTAAGCCAAATATTCAAGATGAATCCATAAAAACAATTTAGATCATTGATCGAGTCAATTTTCTTTGAAAATTCTATCCTCTATGAGTCCTTTCGTACTAAACATTAAAAAAAACTTCCGATATCTTCATTGTTATTCATAGAAAACATCAAAATTAAATTTATTACTTATATTCGAAGTTGATCTATTAAATAGAATAAACTATTGAAACAATCGATTTGATTATCCACATATCAACATATCTCTCATATTTTGCGTATCAAAAAATAAACAAGAAAGGAAAAAATTTTTTTTTTTTTTTTGTTTTAATCAACTTAATCAAAGTTATTTAGCAAGAATGAAAACATTCTTTATATGGTTTTATCTAAACTAAATCAAACGATGGTTGCTAAGAGTAACATATAAACGAACTTCTTTTTGTAATAAGTAGACATAAATAAATAATTCATCGAAATGAAAACCAAGTATTTGTATATAACAAACTTATTTCATGAATATAAATGAATGTTTATTTAGATCATATAAATATAAAAAACAACTTCTTAATCAATATCTCAATAAGTAATATTTGTTTTCTTTCGTTCTTATCAAGTCGTAAATAAAAAAAAACCTTCATAATCTATATCTCACCATCATCAGTTAAATTAACAATTGATGCTGCTGTTTGCTGTTGTTGTTGTTGTTGTTGTTGCTGCTGTTTATTTGCATCAAGATTTTTCGATAATTTATTAATATTGTCAATCATACTGTTAACTTCTAGAAATAAGCACTTTATGCAAGCTATATCGACAAAGAAAAAAAAAATGTAAGTGTAAGGATACTATTTCTATTTCTTCTCTCTCAATCACTGTTCTTGAAGTTGATGTTTGTCTTGCAAATTAATTTTCTTTTGTACATTCGCCTTGTATTATGTCTTTCATTTACATCTACATTTATGTTTGGTTGCTAAGCATTGAATGACAAAGCATTGTGTTTTTCATGGATAATAGATGTCGTCTATTAAATTTATACTACCATCTATAATGGATTCGTTTTTTTTTTATGATCATAATAAAAACAAAAATCTTTCAATGGTCAATTTGATACATTCACTAGTCGGTTATTGTTAAACGTTTGATTTTAATTTGAAAGAAAAAAAAAACAAAATAAAATTTTTTTTTTCTTTTTGCTTTTCAGAATATATGATGTCATCGCTTTTGTTTCTTACTCATATTAGTTAAGAATGGACGAAAGTGAGACAATAAATCATAATAATTCAAAACAACATGCAAATCATTTATCTGGTGCTGCATTACAAGCATCAACTGTATCGATTATACCAAGTGATATACGTACAGGAGCACGTGGAGCAGGTTTAGCAGTAGGTGTTAATAATAATTTAATGACAACAGACAAATCTAATGAAACAACAACAACATCGACATCAGCTGCTATTGCAGGTGGTTCAGGACAAAATGCTATGCTTATGGTTGGACCCAATTTTCGTGTTGGAAAACGAATTGGTGCAGGAAATTTTGGAGAAATTCGATTAGGTTAAAAGAAAAACGAAAGAACTATTTCAATGCAATAGTTTTTCTTTTTCGTTTTCTTTTTTAGGAAAAAATTTGTATAATAATGAACATGTAGCAATTAAACTAGTAATTAAACCATAAACAAATGTAAAAAATTTCTATTTGAATTAATATTTTGTTTTTATTTTAAAGGAACCGATGAAATCTCGTGCACCACAACTTCATCTTGAATATCGTTTTTATCGACAACTTGGAACTAGTGGTTAGTTCAAAAAAAAAAAAAAAAAAAAAGAAAATTTTCATTGATTTATTTATATTTATCTTCATAGAGGGCATTCCACAAGTACATTATTTTGGACCATGTGGTAAATATAATGCATTAGTAGTTGAATTACTTGGTCCATCACTGGAAGATCTATTTGATAATTGCGATCGAAAATTTTCACTTAAAACCGTCCTTATGATTGCTATACAATTGGTATTTAAAAAAAAACACATTGAAATGTTTAATAAACATTTATTTTACTTTACTTTTATAGATAAGTCGTATGGAATATGTTCATTCAAAAAATCTTATTTATCGAGAGTAAATTTATTTTAAGACAAAAAAAAAGAAATGTGATTTTTTTGAAAATATTGTTTTTTCTATTGAAGTGTTAAACCAGAAAACTTTCTTATTGGACGTTCGTCTACGAAAAAACAACATGTTATACATATTATTGATTTTGGCTTAGCCAAAGAATACATTGATCCTGATACTGGTCGACATATTCCATTTCGTGAACATAAAAGTTTAACTGGTTAGTTGATTTTCTGAAAAGAAAAAAAAAACAATTTCTTTTTTTTCTATACTCGAAATTTTATTAGGTACAGCAAGATATATGAGTATTAATACACATCTTGGAAAAGGTAAAAAATTTATTTTTTGTTATTTTTAAATATATATTTTTTATTATTATTTTAGAACAAAGTCGTCGAGATGATCTTGAAGCATTGGGGCATATGTTTATGTATTTTTTACGTGGCAGTCTACCGGTATGAAAAATATCAATAAAAAAAATAATTCCTTTATAATGAAAATTAAAAATCAATTAGTTTCAATAAATAGTATAGCTACTGTTTTTTTTTTTTTTTTTGGTAATTTTTGTATGTCGTATGTAGACATTATAAAACAATATTTGTTGAGAGTGTTAAATATGATATTATCGATATGAAATCTGAGTAGATGTACGCAGGCGCACTTAAATTTGATTAGACGCCCCTGACTGATCGTCTTTGTTTTCTAATATTTCAAGATGGTTTCTACTGATTGCATTATAATTTTCACCAAATTATATTGCCATTTTCATAGTTTATCAGTTCTCTATGTTATATATGTATTCTGTCAGACTAGAAATACCAAAAATGTTTGAATATTGTATTTCGCTTTGCAACGGCGAAATACATTAGAAAAATTTTTAAACAAAGTTTCACTTGCTTTTTTAATTCAAATATTACAACAAATGCAATATTTTGAGCACAATGCGAGATTTCTTTTCTATCGTGATACATCTAGGGAACTGCAAAGTGGTCCCGGTCCCGGCGGGACCAGGACGAAAAATTTTTCACATTGGTCCCGGTCAGTTTTTATGCAATATATTTTCACGTTTATTATTTTGACATGATTAAAGATCTGTAAATCAGATATTTTTATTTGCTATTTCTATAAAAGTCTTTACTGATTACGAGTCTGTTTGCAAGAATCTGAGTTTTCCAATTGTACAGGTTTTTGAATACATATAAAACAACCAACACAACACTATATACATAAGTTAAATTATTCACTATTTGATGATTCCTTTAGTGAAGTCTTATCAGATAATAGTAAATAGATATGTGTCGCCGTTTATTCTTTATTTTTGACAATCGTAATGGCTATTCAGTATAAATAATTAATTCGATAAATCCATTAGGTAGAGCAGTAGATATAAAAGAAGAGAAATAAGTAAATGACTGCTACGAAGTACATGAGAATTTTTAACAAAATTCAATGGTTATTTTTATTTATTCGAGCTTTCAGTGAAATTCTTTCACTTTAACACTGGATATAAAAGAATTTTCGTATTATTAACGAATCAAAATCATTCATGTCAATTTTATGTATTCATAAAAGTACACAGATCGTTAAAAAAATTTGCTCAATTTTTGAAATGAAACCATTGTCAAAGACCGGCACCGGGACCGGGACTGGAAAAAAATTTGACAGGGACCGGGAGTAAAAAAAGTGATTTTGCAGTTCCCTAGATACATCTTGGTTTTATTGTGTGTGATGTATTATCAAATTTAAGCGAAATCGAAGCACATGATTTTTAGTAGACAGAATAAATATATGACGTAGAGAGGTGATAAAGCTATGAAAATGAGACTATATTCAAGAATGTCTCTTCCAATCTTGAAAAACCTTCGTTTTTTCTTCATATTTCTTTTGTTTTGCTCACCAATTCCCAAAACAAATCATGCAACTATCCTCTCTCAAATCCTAGAAGTTGCAAAACATTCCTGATTAGATTTAGGCAAAAACTACTTTTCAGTTGTCAGAAGTCATCGAACCATATTAGAAATCAAGATAATCAGTTAGATGTATGATCAACTTTACGTATCATTATATATGAATAAAAATAAACTAAGAATATTTTTATTTAGTGGCAAGGCTTAAAAGCTGAAACATTAAAAGAACGTTATCAAAAAATTGGTGATACTAAACGTGCAACTCATATTGATGTTTTATGTCAAAGTCATCCTGGTATATACGATAATAAAAATCTGATGTTATTTTTATTTTTATTTTTGTTTATTTTTAGAAGAATTTAGTAAATATTTAAAATATGTTCGAAACTTAGATTTTTTTGAAACTCCAAATGTAAGTTAAAGTTCAAATTACAAAACAAATTTATTTTTGTTTTAATTTTTTTTCATTCTTTTAGTATGAATACTTAAGAAAATTGTTTAAAGATTTGATGGATTCACGTAATTATGTATGTGATTATAATTTTGATTGGGTAGAAAAAGTACAGCCATATGCAAATAGAGTATGTGAATATTTGCATTTTATTATTAAAAAAAATATTTATCTTATGAACAGACTGATGGAAAATCTCAATATCAATCAACAAATCAACATAATATGCCATCCAGTCCAGTTGTGCGACCAACGAATAAAGTAAGTACAAAAATAATTGTTAAAAAAAAAAGCTTTAATTCAATCAATAAGAAAAAGATAAAACAAACTAAAAAAAGACTTTTCTCGCTCCCTCTCAGACGAACTTTTTAAATACTCATCTTTCACAATCAATACAGCAAGTACATGGTTCAATGCAGGTATATTCAAATAAATCTCGTCTGTCAACCTATTATTTATTGTTTTCTTTTCCTCGGAGTTTCTTAAATGTTTGCAGAATGAATATATTTCCTTTGGTCGTTGTCATTAGCTAATGCTTCTTCTTTTATTAAATTTTAATATCCAAATGAATCAATCGTAATATCTCTATTTTGTTTTTCTTTTGTTTTTTTTTTCTTTCATAGCCGATTAATATTCCTGATGATGATACTGAACGAACTGGTCGTGATCGAGAAAATGCACATATCGTCACATCTGTGCCTAATCCTGAAGTTATTAGTGATACAAAGTAAGTACAAAACAAAAAAATGATTTATTATTAGTTTTGATCACTCGCTTGAGATTTCGGTGAAGGGTTTTAATCTATATAGAAGAATGATAAATATATATGTATATATGTTTTTTGTAGGCGTAAAAATGTTGATGGAAAATTATTTCAGAATGATGAAAATTCGTCTAGTAAAATGTAAGATTTAGACATAGATACTTAATCAAATTCTAGGTTGATGTAATAATTTTAAACAAAACAAAAAGAAAACGAAAAATTAATTTTTTTATAGATATTGGAAACAATGGCTTTCATCATTTGTGTAGGTTCGATTGAATATAAACAAAAAATGTATAGATTATAAAGAATATATACATATAACTGCTCTGAAACACATTCTTTTTTAAGAATCTTTTAATAAAAGCATGAAGAGTTTGTATACGATGTTATTGTTTAGGTGTTGCTGCTTTTTTAATCGTCGTACAAGACAGACGAATAATAAACAATCAAGAAAATAGTTTTCATTAAATGACATGATTCGTTCCAGAACAGTTATGGCTTGTAAGATAAAATTTTAATATATAATAAAGAGGATCGTGTTTTATTTTATTCTATAAGTGTTGTCGATTGGATTCTGTTTCCTTTTCGTACAGTGAATTTTGGCGTCGGACAAAAACAAAAAAAAACTGCACACAATCACTGTTTTTCCTTATTTTTTTCTTTCTCTTTCTCTCTTTCTTATTTCTTTTCTTTTTGTCAATCGGCACTGTGGATAATAAAATGCGTCATTTCTATCTTTCTCTTTAAAATTTTTTTTTTGTTGTTATTGAGTGTGTATCATTGTACTTGGATTTTCATTTTTCTTGTCTTCTGTATCAACCTGCACACTGTTAAAAAATTTCGCTTTTGCCTTTTCTTCTCTATTTTCTCTTTCTTTTATTTTCTGCTCATGTCTGTGCTTGAGTGTGCTTTTTTTTTAAAGCGGAAAACAAAAGAAAGATGAAGTATTTTTTATTTCTATCGAATATAATATATATATAAATATATTGTATAAAAGAAATATTATAATAGATTAAAGATGATACACATTATATCAATTCTATATAATAAGATTGATAAAGGGACACACATTATAAGTTTCATGTTATTATTTAAAAACATAACTGTGTATACTTTTTTTATATTGAATTTTCTTTTGTATTTATTATTGATAGAGATACGTTTCTTTTAGTGTTCTTTTCATTATTAATCATTTTATACTAGCTGCAGGGCATTCTTCGCCTTCTAAACGACTCATCAGAAAAACATTTGAAGCTTGCAGGCAGAGACACCTCGATGAGTAAAGCAAAATTAATTATAAATTAAATATTCTCCAATGATTGACTGGAGGAGATAATCAGATCGGAAAGGTTAAAAAATCAGTGATCCTTATCGCTCACGTTTTCAATCATATTACGTGATATAAACCTGAAAATGGTCTTTACGGGTACAAAACATTGTTTGGCGTGCTTAGTTGTTTTTTGTTTTTTTGTTATATCATTCTATATGAACAAGGTCATTCATAGTACCCTCAAAAATATTTGTTCTTTTTGACCTGAATTGTTTTCGAAAAACCTTAGCAAGATCAAGGTTCTTAATATTTTAAACAAATAATTATTATTATCCAAAAGTTTGAGCTCAATGGGACGTACTGTATTTTGAGAAACGGGAACAATTCCCTACCGTTTGCTTTTTGTTTTTCAAGTCTCATTTTCCAGTAAGAGCAAACTAGTTTGAAAATTAGGATGTTTTTTTTTTAGAGAAAATCTTCCATCTGCCAGAAATTTGTTGACCTTTTAATTTGTATATAAATGCTTGAAATATGCTTAATAGATAGTAAACAGTTCAAAGCGTATATAGAACAGAGATAATCATAAAAATGGAACATCTAAACATTTTGAGTTGGAAAGAAGTGTTTGCTTTTAAAGAATATGATACGCAGATATAAAGTTACTGAAATGAAAACCAAAACAGTATTAATAAAATATTTTTTGTTATTTTCTATCATGACGAAGGTTATTGGGTTGATGGATAAATGAAAAAAAGACATCTTATACTTAATTGAAAGTCATATTACAGCTTATGATTGACATTCTATTGTGATTCCCATGAGATATATTTTAACGTTTACAATATTAATTAATTTAAATGAATAAAATATTTATTTAGAATATAAAAATTAGCAACGTACAGATTCGTTTTAATGCCGTAATACACTTAATGCAATCTTAAACGCAATGAAAATTGATGGAAATATAAGTAATGCTGTTATATATCGATTAGGGAAATCCTAGTATAACTGCATTATGTTCGCAAATCTTGTTCAACGACAATCATTTATCTATATTCTATGATGCATAAAAAAAATAAGGCAGATAATGTAGCGGAAATTCAAAATTGAAGCAAATTTATTTACTCGATGATTTATAGGCATTGAGATAGAGCTCATAAGCTATATGAAAAAAAATATATACTTAATCAAATTTCTCGTTCTTTTATGAACACGAAAAAATTGAAAATACGGACATCATACTATTGTGCAAAAAAATAACTCCGTTCTAAGAAAACAAGAATTGATTTTGTTTGTATTCGGTTGTAATAATTAGAATTTTTTTCTCTGGATGATTCATTTATGTCGCTAATATAGCTTGTATAATCTATTGTGGTTCTTTTTTTTTGAACAAAATATGAAATCTAATACAATTTGTTATTTAAGCCAGCATCAAAGGAGTCATAAATATACGAAAGGACTTTTTGAAAAGCTTTTTCTTTCCTGAAAGAAAACTAAAGATCTATATTAAAGAATGCTAGAGTGACATTTTTGACCTGCCAAATGCAGTATTGAGTACTAGAAACCTTTCTTTCTGACGAAAGTAAACGTCATATTCCCAATCAACACCAAAGATTAAGTTAGACAACGTGTTTTCTAGTACTCAGAATATTCCTTGAAAAAGTTATCTATGATCTCCTGAAGCACTTGTTTATTAAAATCTTTCATTTAGAAGATCACAGAGAAGTTTTCTTTTTGTTTTCATGACATTTAATTGTATCACAAAGGATGTTATCTAACACGATTTTTTGCTCAGACTACGGATATGATATTTATTTTTGTTCGAACGGAAGGTTTGAATGACAGTCAATAACGCATTTGGTGGATCAAAATCATAAGTTTCTCATTTCTTTATAAAACAAAAAAAAAAGAACTTTAGTTTTTTTTGTAAGTGAAAAATAGTCTATTCTCACATTTGTGCCTTCTTTCATGCTGGTTTGAATGACTTATTTTATTTGATTTACTATCTTGCAAAAAAAAATACGAGCTGTGATACGGTGTAAATAATGAAAAGTTCGAGCAAAATTCTTTTTGTCGTATTTTTATACATAGCTATAAAGAACTCGACGAAATCAGTAAAAAAAAATATGTATTTTATTTTTTTTAAAGGTTTCTGATAAAAAACCGAATTTTTTGATAGTACTCAATGGTCCAATTTTTTCTAAAAGTCCGTTTTTGATAATAAAAAACGGATATATTTAGATTCATGATGAAAAAAAATGAGCCTGTTAGGCTACGTTATAAAGCAGAGCCTCGCAGACTCAGTCTCCTATGGCGAATCTAAAAAAATCAGTTTTACAATGCTTATAAAATGGAAAAGTTTGTTTTTTAAAGCAAAAAAAAATCCTATTAATGTTCTAGTATGAAAAACATACTTTTAGGAATATATCGTTTTTTTCAATCAGAGATCTTTCAAAAAAAAAAGATGAAATACATATTTTTACTTAGATTGTCGAGCTCTATGTAGCCGTGTATAGAAATATGAAAAGAAAATTTTCCTCGAATTTTGTATTTGTTGCGCCTTGGCAATCATCCTTTCACTATAGAGAAACAAATCAATCAAGCGATATATTAGAGAAATGAAGACTACATTCATGTAGTTAGATTTTTTGTATCACTAAAGAAGTACTCTTCTAAACTGCTAGAAAAGAATAAAAATCAAATTAGTCTTCGTTTCTTATTGAACGTAAACAATAACAGTTGAAGCATGACTTTCGTAGAATTTTTCATTAAATGTTTAAAATAAGTTACAGTTGTTTTTAAACTAATAAGCCAATGCCATGTTTTCATTTAATTTTAACTATAGTCAATGATATTATTCTATTTGCTAAATGTATCTATCTAAAGATTCGCATATATGCTTGTATTTCTGAAAAGAGATATTTAAAATATTTCTAATTAAAGAAAACTGTTTATGGTCTCGACTTCTTCCATGTCTCGAAACAAAACGTCAAAATATAATTAATCAATCCTATAATAATATTTTATTAAAATACGACAAAAAAAAACAAAGTAAAAAATTTCACTTTTGCATGTCGTTCACAACAATGTTGCATATTTTAATTTCCCGTAATATGTTCATTTGTCGGAAAGTAAGTATTTACCATATCGGATAAAATTATAATTGATGCAATTTAGTTTACATTCGAACATTTCATATTAGTTCTTGCATTTGCTTCTGGATTATCACGTGACACTTTACATTCTCAATTTAATTTACTTGATTAAAATATTTGTAATATAGCTATTATTTTAAATAGCTATAATATAAATTTAGATGAACGGTGATCTTGATGCCAAGAAAAATAATAATTATTTTTTTTTGTATTATAATTCTGTATTTTCAGGAATATCAGATGCTCTTCGACGTACATATTTGTTAATAAAGTGACGAATACAATTTAATAGATTTGAATGAGATTCAATATTGTTATTATCTTCGCTGTCTTCATCATCTTGTATTCGTCGTCCCGTTCGAAGACTTCGTTCTAAAGCTTTTAAATAAGCAATTTTATCTCGACCATTTGGTAGGGTTGAGTTTTCTTTTGCTAAATCATTTGATTCAAGAGCTAAATCAAGACTTTTTATACTAGAATGATCTTCGTTTTCAGTGGATGATATATTCGAATCCGTGTCTTGATATGTTCTATTCGATTTTCCATGTAATTTACTAAATAATAAAAAATAAAGAAAAAGAAAATAAATATATATCTTAATAAATATTTCATACTTACCGTAAAAATTTTGGTTGGAAAGCGCAAACAAAAATAAATAGACAAATCCCACAAATTGTTACAGCAGTGATAGTAATAAGAATTACTGCAAAAAGATCCATGTGATCTTGTCCTTGTTTGTACAACGAAGGAGAAGATGAATGTCAACCAACAATATTGCTCGTTGGTATCATCATTATTATCAGGCTGTTGCCATCGTCCATGTCTTATCAAATGTCACTCAAAGTGGAAGAATTACAGGAAGCAGAAGAAGGAAAGAAGCAATCCAAGGAAATATCAATACATGGTCTAGATGGATGGATAGATAGATAGATAGACAGATAGATAGATAGATATATTATAATTAGAAATAGACGTCAAAAGGTTATAAATAAAAATTGATTGAAAAAGTCACAGCGGGTGAACATCAAAGTAAATCAGAAAAGACTGACTGTTAGTAATAGAGCGTAGCAGTCATATTATTCTTTTTTTTTCTTGACATACAAAGAAATAATTTACTATTACTACAAGATCGGTTAATATATATTCTTGCTGTTTTTATTCTCTTGATTAGGTTCCGTCACTCGTATTATTTGGTTTGATCGATCGTTCGAATGTTGATGTTTAATATAAAGAAGAAAAAAAGAAATTCATAGTCGAAACGAGCTCGATGAGTGCAAACACACTTGCGTTGTTTAACAAGCAAGTCAAGAGTGGCGAATGACAGAAGAAAAAAGAAAAGATTCTAAAGCAAAAATGTCAATGGCGTTGACTTGATAAAAAGAAAAGGAATCTATTAGTGTTAATGGATGCTGACATAAAAAAAAAAGGTTTTTTTTGTGTTCTGTATTCTTGTTCGCACTCATTCATATATATATATACACAATACATGCATGAGTATGTGCGTGTCTGATAAATATTCTCCCTGACACGATACAATCTTGTCGACATGCTTAAAAGACTAGTTGTTGATCGAATACATGACCAATATTATTGCGTGATAATTAATCAAGCAGAAAGGATTTTACTCGAAAGATATAACAAAATAGCACTTGATCAATAGATATATTGAACCTAATATGGAATCCAACAACATATATATTAATTCAGGATTTATTATCAATTAGGAACTATTGAACATATGTTATCTATTGTTTACATCAAGATTTCATGGAAAAGGATAATTTCTTCTATTCAACTAATAAAACTAGATTTACTAGTTCAAGTATTTACTATAAAAAACATATCAATGCATATATTCAATTAACTTTGATTTGAATAGAATAAATCTTTTGATTTATTTTCAATAAAATCAATATATCATCATAGTTCCTTTTAAAATAGATTAAACAATAGAATATATTCATAATGCATCTTGACTTTGAATATTTGGTATTGGATAGATGCAATTTCCGGAATATGTAGTTTGATTGTCGTGAATAGTTGTTTTGTTTTAATATTAAAAATCTTTTTATTTCCATCTTTATATTTCTTAAAATTTATTTGACATATGCTTATATTTAAAAGAAAGAAATAAAAAATTAAATTAAAAAATCAGTTAATATAAAATTGATTATGACAACTTATTTCTGTGAATGAAAGACATTATAATACACAACATGAAAAAAATCCATTTAACCTAATGATGTATTGATTTCTAGGTCATTAAAATATAATTTCAATAATGAACAACTGAAATATTGTTTGTGTTTGTTCTTAGAAGAAATATCACATTGAATAGTAACGAAACTATATTTACATTTGAAGTCGACAATTAAAATTTTCCATACTTTAACAAAAGCAAACTACAACTTTAAGAAAAATTTTTTTCTACTAAGAAAATATAAAAAGCATCTATGAAATCTAACTTAGCATTAAATTTTTGCTGAAAGAGACATCTCAGATGCATTATGTATCGTCTGGACGTATAACAATATTGCCACGACGAGTTTCACTGTTGTCAAAATACATTTTCACTCATATATTATAATATTTTAAAGTTTTTCCAATAAATCTGCAAAATTACCAAAATTCTATAAGATTTTCATAATATTAAATAACATGAATGATTTAATAAACTGTAAATATTGATATTTTCCTTTCAATAAATTTTTAAAATACAATCATACAGAATTGAACATATAGAAATCTATTATTTATTTCTCTATAAAAACCTGTATATTGATATGAATTAGAAATTATTTATTCTCTCTCTCTTAAAAAACAATATTTGTTGGTTATTCACGTAATACGTCGAATATTCAAAATTTCTACAAATTCTTTTTCGATATACTAATTTTACTTAGTTGCATACAGTGCATAGAGTTGCTTAGGACAAACTAATTTAACAAATTTTTTCAAAGTAAACTTAGAAACACAATTTAAAGAAAATATCAAATTTCAATTTAATGTGAAAAAGCAGCTTTTAATGACAGTTTTGTGAACACTTTTTTCCTTTTCATGCGATCAAAGATTTTAATTAGTGTGTTTTCTCATACATCAGACTAAAGTCTTTCAAAAGCTTCATGTTAAAATGAAATCTTTTAAAAGAATTTTGTCTGAAGAATTAGAAAAAAGTTTTTCAATTGTTCAACCTCAAGAAATGGAAAAAAGTTATACACAAGAATGTTCTCAAGAAGTGCTTCCTTACAATAATATTATATTTGACCTTTGCTTTCTTAATTTATTTTCAAAAAAGAATCGTTAATCTAGCTTTTCCTAGTTAATTCGATGCAACTAAGGAGTAATACAATATATCGAAAAGAATGTGTGAAACTATTGAATTTTCGATATCTTACTTCCTTTTATATTTTCTCAATCTATCAAGAAAAAACTAAACTAATAGTTTAAATTTTAAACAATTGATGAAATTGTAAGTCACTGAAGATTAGTATATCTTTAAATGTGATATTAAATCTGTCATTTTCATAAATAATATTTATACACTAATCATAAATATTTCTTAAAAAGAAAAAGAATTGTTTCAATATGTCAGCCTGTTCTTCTTGTCACAACAATTTTAATATTTTTAAGTAATTGACGATAATAAGATTGACACGTATTAATCATAAGCACCAAAAAGAAAAAAAAAAAAAAGAAAAACTTTTATTGACAGAACAACAATTGAAATTTATCTTAAAGATCATTTATTTTCCAAGTAAAAACACAAATTAAATTCCACGATTGAAACAAAAAAACAAAATCGACAAAAGACAACAAATCATTCCATATGGTATAAATGAAATAATCCATCGAATGTCGGCATAGTAAAGTGCATCGACATTCTGTCTTCAAAGAATAGCCTTCGGTATGGCTAATATTGCTCACTTACATTACTTATTTTTTTTCTTTCAATAATCGTACCGACAACTGATCAATGATGATTAGCTCCAGATGATATGATTGTTGATATGCTGCTACTTTGCTCTATCGATAGAGATTGATATACACATACATGTTTGACATGGTCAAAGCGATTGATATTTATCGTCTATTATCTTATTCACACTAAATGGCTTGCATCATTTTCTTCTTCGTCTTCTTTTTTTCTCCTCTGTTAATCGAACTTTCTTAGCAAGAGATAGTTGGCATCATTCATAGATATCTTGATCAATTCAAGTTAATCATAAACAAACCTCCTATCTATATGATGAGTTAAATGAGAATGAATAAAAAGAAACGAAGTACAAATAGATTCATCATTCTAAAAAAGAACCCATCCATTCGTCATATCAATTGATCGTATACATTTCAAGATTCTTTGCATATTTACTAATGGATTTCACACAGTTGGAATTCCATTTTTATGTTATTATCGATTAAAGACAAACAAGAATATCTTTCATTTATTTATTTATTTATATAAACGTAAACAACGAAGAACAAGTAAGAGTTATTAAATTCTTTTTTTTCTTTTTTTTGTATTTGATAATCTGTCTTAAACAAGAAACTATATATGATCATTGAAAAATTTAATATGCTACTTTTATTTTATTAATTGTTAGACTAATAGTAATTATTTTAAAAATCTTCTTAGATTGAAGCTAATAGTGATAATTACTATAAGAAAAAAACTTAATAGACCACTGATTTAGTTTATTATGTTCATGTCTTTCAAGTTGTCTTCTTCTTTTTTTTTGTTATTCATAACTTGTCATTATCATTTTATAGTTTTGTTTTTTGAAATAAAAAACCTATATATTAGTTATTTTTATGATATGTTCACTTGTCATTTTGACTATATGATCGTTTTTGGGAATTACTTCAATTATAATAAGACAGAAGAATATGAGAATAAAGTAAAATAATGAGTGAGAAGCTTGAAGCATGGCATACACGTATAAAAATTAGAAATAGATATCTTTTTTTTTCTGCTTTTTTCTTTATGTCACTGATTTGTCTTTGACTGTCTGTCATTTGATGATGACAACGTCGTAGAGTGCCAGAGCGGAACCTATTTAATGTCTCTAATTGCTGCTCGAGTAACAACTCTTTCATACTTCCTCTAAAATTGATTGTGCCTTATGAGTTAAAAAAAAGAAAAGAAGAAAAAGACAGAGAAAAATAACATAGACACACTGATGATGATGACGATGATGAGTTCGAAGACAGTAATGTTAAAGAAGAATAAATAAGTGGAAGAAGATTACCCACTTTATACACCTGCCTATACATGTATACACGTATATTTATATCAGTTAAGTAAAAACCGACTTAGAAAAGTAATAAAACTATATTTAACTAATCTCGATGTTTTTTTTCTATTCTTTATACTCTCAACTTCATTATCCTAATGGCTTTTTCTTTTATTAAGTCAAATAACAACTTTTTGTTTGATCGATGATTATATATATATACATATATAAACATAGAGACAAATGAATACACTATAGTATCAATTATCATTAGTAAAACATTCTTTTTTTTTGGATATCTTTATCGATATATGTATATTACTTCGCATGAATGATAATTTGAAATGATCATCATTATCATCATCCGACTCTCAATTAGTCGTTGTTACATAGGAAAGCGCAGTAGCCATTAAGCTTCTCCAACTTTCCGCTTGATGCTCGTTGAAAATAAACGGAGCATTATCATCATTTTTCTCTTCTCTCTTGTA